ACAAGGGTAAAGAGTCTCGACCCAATTTCAATAATTAACCTGTTATTTTAACATCTTATATACTTTAGATTGTTGATTGTGTTCTGCTTCGTCAAAAATTAAAAGGGATAGATCTCGGGAATCCCCGATTATAGAAAAACACACTGTTTCTGTATGGTGGGAAAGTCGGGGATTCCCGAGAAATTAAACCGATTGAACACTACGTTCCACTCTAATGCTGCCAACCTAACAATCTACCTAAATTTAAGGAAAATTACAAGTAAGTAGGCCGGGTCGGCGAAAAAAGACATTTGTAGTATGTAGTAATAATTGAATTGCAGTTAGGGGGCGCCGAAGAAATTTCGCCCAGGGCGCTAGTAGTGCTAAAACCGGCACTGCCTGGGATACTCTTTGGTAGTCAATATCTTTGTGCTTCCGAAGCACCGTGCAAAGAATAAAGAGCTTGCGAACTGTCATAACTGAGGATTCTCTGTAAAGAGTAGTCGTGCTATATCTTCGCGGCTTTCGAAGTATAATTTTTAATATAGCTCTTTGCGCTCGCTCAAGGGGAAGCATTGTAGTGATGCCTACACCTCCCCATGCAATGATACAATACTGGAGTAAACTCTGGACAAGCGCCAAGTAAACGCACATCAATGTATCAAGATCAGCTGAACTACGGAGTCGTTTGAAAATAGGAATTAATTTTCTAACTCTACCTACTAAACCTTTAATATGACTCCCCCAATTCAAGTTATTATCAACCGTGAGCCCAAGATATTTTATATTTTGCGAACGCGTGAGCGTGTCGCAGTTACACTCATCAATATTCCTACAGCCGTGTAGTCGTACACGAAAGTCGTTTGGTGGTTGCGTGGAGCTACTGGATGAGAAGGTGATATATCTCGTTTTATTTATGTTCAATGATAGTAAATTACGATTTATATTTATAGATAGTAAATACCTCAAGAAGAGCCGATTCGGTATGGATTCTAGTTTGATTCCAATCTGTGCCGTGAATAATTAGAGCTGTATCATCAGCATATGTGATAATTTTGGTGGACGGGAGAGATAATTCACATAGGCTGTTAATGAATATAAGAAACAGAGTCGGTCCCAACACGCTCCCCTGCGGCACTCCAAAAGATATCAGTGCCTCTTTACTTGTATAATTTTCAATTTTTAGGGTATTGCCTGGGGTTTCCCGCGCTTAGCTTCATAAAGCCGGGATGTTTCTTGGACCCGAAGGTCCAGCGGAAGCAGCCTCGACAACATTAATGCGGAATTCAGAGACACTGTTCTATATGTTCTAGCTATTTTTTATGCGAACCCCCTTTGCACAGCATTCATCACTTTCTTACTTCTTATCTCGCATGCTTCTCTTCCCCACACACTAGCTGAGTATAAAATTATTGGCTCGATCACAGCTACATAAATTGTTCTAATTACCTCTGGATTGAGCCCCCACGTGGTCCTAGCTGACCTGGCTACCCCTTCATAAATGTTATTTGCTTTACTACTATAAATATTGTATTTTACTTTCCTTTTCCACATCTATTTGTTATCTCCCACCGTTAAACGGGCACATAATATTTTAGTTATCTTGTTAATAAAATGGCTTTTGTTTTTTGTGGTGCAAATTTTAGGTTGTTAGATGTGCCCCATTCTTTGACTTCAGCGACTGCTTTATTGGCTATTATTTCTAACTCCTGAGAGCTTTTCACCGACATAATTAAAACGACGTCGTCTCCGAAGGCTTGGCAGTATACGCCTCTGTTCGTGATGTTGTTTAATAGCAGGTCAAGTATTATATTCGAGAAAAGGGGTCCTCCGATGGACCCCAGTACACAACCTTTATTTGAGTTTTTTGTAATTTTTTGACCCTCGTATCTCACGGTCACAGTCCTGTCCTTCAGGTAGCTGCTAAAAAGCCTTCGCAGATTTTGTGGGCAATTCTTATTTTCGGGCTGTGTGTTATCAGTTTCACTAGAATGCTGAAGGAGATCACCGTTGCTTTTTCCAGGGAGTGATGAAGTGAGAGATCTCCAAGCTTTTGTTTAGTATAGCGAGGGCTATGGAGGTGTTCGCTTTGATCTTCATATGTCTGCCGTTAGGCCGTCTCCACCCGGCGCCTTTTTGGGGTTGATCGAGTTCGAGACATAGAGTAGATCGGCTTCCAAAGAAAGGGGATCGTAAATATCGAATTTATTTCCCTCCATTGCTTCCGCCGCTCTACTCCTCACCTCTTTATGGGAGTCGTTCTCTCCTTCTTCGGTATCCGCGGGGTAGAAACAATCGGCGATGATGCGCGCCGACTCCTCCAGAATTGTTGTTCTTCCGTCTTTAGATTTAAAAGGTCCTCGCTATTTCGCTATGATCTTCCAATAACACTAAAATTCCCATCCCACATATTTTCCCGATCTTGCTTGCCACAATATTCCTTCCAACTGCTGATCCTACTCTAGTCTATTACTTGTGGTATTCCTCTCTTTTCTTCACCTACTGCTCGATCGCGTATGGTTTCCTTGCTTGTGACGCGTTTCTTTTTTCTTATGCTGTTCTTTCCTTTTTTAAGTTTTCTAATTTTTCGGTCCACCACCAAATCCCTGTTTTGTAGTTTTGTTTTTAGGTTTTGAATTTTGCTTTATTATTTATGTATATTTGTCTATATTTCTATGAGTTGCTCTAGTTCATGTGTTTCTTTTATTTTTTCTATTGTTTCTTTGTTTAATTCTTCTATTATTTCCTATCTATATTTCTTTCAATCTGTCTTTTTCTGATACATATTTTTGTTGTTTTATTATTTTTATTTTCTTTTCAATTTATTCTCGAACATTATTGTGTTGTGGTTCGATATTGTAATGGTTTCGTCTACTCTCCATTTTTCTAGTTTGTCTAAAAAGTCGATTGAGTAGAACGTGACGTTCACGTGACTTTTATACTCCGTGTTGATGTCCATGTATGGAAGGTCGGAGTCTTACCTTCATTAAGTACTCCTAATCCCAAGCCTTCGTCTTCTTTCATTAGGCCAATAGTTCTTCACCTCTCTCATCGGATTTATCACTACCCCACCATTCACTCCAAGAGTTGACATCCCCTGCTATGATGATTTTGCAGCCTCTTGTACCTTCTATTATTTTCTCTATTTACTCTACATATTCTTTTATGTCTTTTCCAGGTTCAAAGTAATACCCGATGGTAGAAAGGGTATAGAGAAAGACCTGGGAGCTTTTAGATCACATGAGTTTATTTACCACCAAAAATATATATACTTTATAAAATACAAACAGCACCGACAACAGCGTTACTTTCAGAGTTACTTTCAATATATAATAAACAATAGACGCGCATGTGCAGAACAGATTGCCTAAATGTCAATAATTAATTAAAAAGATCTTAAACCTAGAAGGTCTCCCTCAACACACCCCCTCAATCTGTTGCACATGCTAACTATCCTTACTTACACTTCTACCTGCCATTACAATACAAAAATGAATTTAGAATGACTACCAAAACTACCATAGATATATATTTCTTATTCCCTATCTCTCAGATCCATTTTACCTAACCTCTATTAACTTCTGTATACCCCTTTACATGACACACATGTAAATCCCTTACTGTCTCTAAACCTAACATCTTAAAACAAACTTTCTTATCTTCTTCTCGACAAAACTTCAGCTATATCAAAATCATTTACCTAACTCATCTCTTACTCAACTTATTTTATCATAAAAACTTCAACTCGATCCAACTTATCATAAAAACCTCAAACAAATTAACTCTTACTCGATCCAACTTATCATAAAAACCTCAAATAATTAATTCCTACTCGAACCCACTTAATTATTCCTAACTTCTTTCAATATAAAAAATTAAACACACTACCTACCATACTACCTCATTGCAACAATACAGAATTTCTACTAACATAATTTAAACTCACATTCTATACCAACTCTTCATTACACACAGGGCATTCTATGCTAAAGACATTATGCACTATGTTTTCATTTTTGCGTTTATTTAACTGCAATTATGACATCTTGTTTGTTATCGAGAATTAACTTTTTAAATACTTCTTCATTGTGAAGCTACTTTAAATTAATGTATTAAAATGGAAGCTTTTTAAGGTTTGACTCGTAAATATGGAAATAAATCTTAATGTAATGTAGTATTTATTCGTTATACATGAAACAAAATGTGGCAAACTGTGATTTGGGTTCGAATCGCATTAAGGTAGTGTAGCAAACCGTAATTTTACGGTGTGAATCGCATTCGGATAGTCATAATACTACTATTTAAAAATTATTATAACCTTGCAACTTTTATTTAGGATTTAATTTCCTGACATGAAATTAGTATAAAATAAGCTATATTTTGAGACATATCAATTTACTTGACACAATAGTAAATTTTTAGGTAAAAATTGGAAACGACTCTTTCGTTTTCGGATTATTCAAATAGCCTTCATCTCATTTATTTCCTACGAGTAGTATGGACATAGTACACTTCATGAAAGAATTTGTTTTGATATATTTTATATCAACATAAATAAATATCAGCATGTATCAAAAAGACATATATGGTATCATAATGAGGAAATATTTAAAAAAGAAGAAAGCACCTTCGCTAGATGGCGACTCTAGCAAAAGTTGATTTTTGCAGGAAACGAATGGACCAAAAATAGTCATTTCCGTTCCTTTTATCTAACATATTGAAAAACTGAAATTTGCGAAATTCCAAACTTAGATATCAATACAAATACGAAAAAGTACTAATAGATTATGAGTTATTAATTGAGTTTTGAAAACTAATTTACTTTTATACATGAAAGAAAACCGGAAGTGTTGCATGGACAAATCAAGAAAGTACCTACGGTATCTAGTTTGGTTTCGGGAACTAATGTTTTTTTAAAATACTTATTCATTTAACTTTATTATATCGATTTAAACTCTGTGTTTTTCTGCTTATTATCGATTTTAATCTACTACAAATGCATATTACTATCGATCATCGCTCATCCCTACACCAAAGCGATCACTGTGAATTGTGAAAAATACGATTTTGATAAACCCAAATAGCATTTCTAAATAATTTTGTTGTATAGTTCTGCCTCTCAAAAATGAGTCTAAGTAATTCAACACACAATCCAAATGATGTCTATGAAAAAGATGATCGAAGGATATCCAGGACCGATATGAACATGCTCATAATGAATTACCTAGTCACAGGTATTTGCAAATTTTTTATTGCTTTTTACCTGAAGACCACTGAACAAACTTCTGAAATGACATTGTCAATTTATAATGCACTATCTTTGGTTCGTTATAGTTTGTTGATCTTTACTTGTTATTGTAAAAACAATACGGTTGCATCGAATCCTAAATTACAGAAGGTTTCAAGGAAGCAGCCTTGAAGTTCCAGCAAGAAGCAGGTTTGCAGGAGCCAGCTCTGTGTAGTTCATTAGATGAGCGCATTATGATCCGTGAAGCAGTACAAAGTGGGCGCATTCCTGAAGCTATTGCTATGGTTAATGCACTACATCCAGAGCTCTTAGACAACGATAGATATCTTTATTTCCATCTCCAGGTAAATCTGTTATGGAATCTGTTTTTTTTACTCTTAATTTTTGATCATAATAAAATTATTGTCTAAAAGAAAAGAGGTATTCTAATAATTATTTTCTAACACAGCAACTGCAACTTTTGGAGTTAATTCGTGCTGGCAGGGCTGAAGAAGCACTAGCGTTTGCAAGTGCTACATTGGCAGAAGCAGGGGCAAATGATGCTATTGCTCTTACAGAACTTGAAAGGTCACTTGCTCTTCTAGCTTTCCCGGATCCACATGCATCTCCGTTTGCTGATCTCTTATTGCCATCACATAGCCAGAAGGTTGGTTAAAATATTGAGTATAAAGAAATACCTTTATTTAAATTAAAATTAAATATTTAATTTTAATCTAATTACTCTTTGGTAAAAGCCTCTCATAAAGTTAAAAATTAACTAAGTTTTAACTAAGATACAGTTTTGACAGAATTCCACATATTCTGACAAAACTTATCATGATTTATTATAAAAGTGTGTGTATCATGAAAGTGTGAAAACTTGCATGAATTTTTATGTAGATATAATCAACGGAGAGAGACAGGGGTTTTGCATTATAGGGCAGTGCCAGATTAAATAGGATTACCACAGTTCCTCTGTATTATCTTTTGCTCATGATACTAACAACCAGTTTCAGAATTGAGAAAAGTATAAAATATCAACTGATTATTTCTTGTTTCATGTGGCAAAAAGTCCTAGTTTTATCAAACTGTTATTAACCGATTATTAAAAAAAATTAAATCAAAATGAAAACTTGTTCAAGTGATGTTTAAGACGGTTTAAGTATGGTTTGAGACATGCTTAACTTTAAATTCTCAATTCAGAAACTGGGTGTTTATCAAACCATACTTATTCATGTTTACCATAATCTTTTACAGATTGCCAGTGAACTAAATGCAGCAATATTAAAAATGGAGAATCAAGAATATACCAATCCAAAACTCTGCAGTCTTCTCAGGATGATACTCTGGTCACAGAGTGAACTAGACAAACATAACATTAAGTATCCAAAGATGACAGACCTAGCTAATGCTACAATAGAACATCCAAAGTGAACTTATTATAAACATAGTTTATTTAAAATATACCTAGATGTGACTTGATTACTTGATTCATGTTCTGCCCCCTTACTGTCAAATGCAGCCGCGACTGATCGACATTGCAATTGTGCCGCTCTGCACTCTTGATTGGTTAACTAGCATACTCTGACATTAGAGTTGATTACACTTGCAATTTCGAATGGTCGCGATTGAAATTGCGTTCGAGAGTAAGGGGGTTGTTCTATTAATGCTTGTAAAATATGTATTGCAATAATAAGGCAATGTTTTAAAATTATTTATATGTAGTGAAATCAGTTTATAAAAGATGTAATATGGGTCAAGTATTCAATGACGTGGAAAAAAAACAAGATGTTGGTTAACTCATTTTTATCAACTGTATATGGCCTGCATGCAGGGTGCGTGCGAGGTATTAGCTCCAGGGGTCATTCACAAGCTCCCTCTGAGCCAGTCTACCATTGATATTATTTGTAATGGCAATTAATGTATTTAATAAAATGCATTGTGTAACCTATTATTTTCTATTCTACCCTTTTTTATTTTCACAGCAGTAGGTCATATTTATTATGTACATACAATTTCTAGTTATGTACTTTTTTAGAATATCGCAAAATTAATATTAGCATACAAGTAATTTTAAGAATTTATAAATGTAATTTAAAAATTAAAATTATTAATAGAATTCAACTCTTTATTTAAAACATGATGTCGCTATTATCCTTTTTCCAATTTCATCTTTTATTTTTTTAATGTAAAATCATGTATCTCATCATTCCTAATAAATTGTATGGAACAGTCTTTATTTTCTTAATTTACAACTTTTGTACAAAATATGGCATTTGTCACCATCCTAGGACATAATCTAAAGCTTTAGAAAGTAATCCACTGGAACGTTGGGGAACTGGAGCTGAAGGTATTGGTGTTGGGCACAGCGAACGGGCTCCTGTTGTCTGTCTGTAACAAATGAAAATATTTCAATAATACATTCAATTACAAAACAAATACAGCTTCTTAACTGACTTAATAATTAAAGGAAGCTCTCAGTTTGACCTGTGACCTGTATGTTTGTACACTCGATTATCTCGTGTTTGGCTGAACCGATTGGGATGCGATTTTGAGCATAGTATTTGTCAGACATAGGAGAAGTAGATAGGTATATTAACCGACTAAAAAATGGAGGTTCGTACTTTAACGTGTTGTATGTATTATGTACTGTACGAGATAATCACAATCTCATGTTTGGCTGAACCGATTTTTATGCGGTTTTCAGAAAAGTATTTTTAGTGTTACCTATCAAATAAAAATATCAATATAACTAAAAAGCATGAAATATATACATTTTTTAAATAAAGAGAACCAACTTCAAACTTATATAAGATAAAAAATTATACTTATCCCAAAAGTGACTTATTCAAGAAAATGCTATTAAATTCGGGTGCCTATCATTTAATTAATAACCTACAGAAAACGTCCGTCCAACTTTAATAGCATTTTCTTGATACTTTACACCCTGAGATGAGATTCAAATTCAAACTCATAACCTTTCGCAATCTGGATCAAGCTGATTTTTAAGCACATTTCACTAATATTTTTCAGTATAGCATTGTGAATACGAAATTGATCAAATATAATAATTAGAAGAAATTTTCATTTTTATCTAAATTTTAAATATTTATAAAAATATTTCTTTCCGCTGTTTGGGTGGATTGCATGAACATTGATGAGAAAATGCTCTGTAGTAGCAAAATAAACTGTATTTGTTTTGTACCTGAGTTTGAAATTGAATAATTATTTCATAATGATTATGTAACTACCTTTCAGGAGAAGTGAGGCCAGGGTTTGTGACACTTATTCTGGGCACTTCTCTACATTCCACAACTCCAACCATGATACCAGGCAACACTTGCCTCCCATTTAAAGCCATGGCTCTTTCTTTTTCAGCTCTTGTTGCATATCTTAGATGAGCCCAATTACCTTGAGTTGGGTATATCTTATCTATAAATTAATAATAAAAAAATATGGATTATTTATTGGTTATCCTATTTTGTAATGTTTGTGGTAAGAAATAAAGTTATTATTCAATTAACAATAAAATTTTATCCTATAGCTAGTAACAAAAATGCATCTGCAGTTGAATAAATGACTGAAACAGAAGAATGTTACATTTCAGTGACTAAAGATATCCTCTTTGAGGTACACTCACTCAATATTTTCTATGAAAACTTTAAATAGAAATTTACTAATCTCAGACAACAATGCTAAAATAAAAAAATAAAGAAAATAGTTACCTATCATAGCACCACAATTACTAAATCTGGCTAATACAGTATTGGCAGCATTAGGAGGAAAACCAAAAACAGTAACCCAGTACTCCTCCTGTTCTTGGCATCCATCTTGCCACTGTGATGTTAAAGACTGATTGTTCATTGATAAGTTCATATTATTAACAAAAGAGTTCTGCAATAGTGAATTGTTTGCATACCCAAGGAAACTGTGATCTTGGTATGCAGATTTATTAGGCTCATTGCTTTTGATTGTATCAAATAAATCTTCTATGGGCGGTCCATTGGGTTTGCTAGAGTATGATATATTTGGAGATGCAGGGATATTAGCATAGGCATTTTGCTGATTATACAATGCTTGTTGATGCATTGTCATATTTTGTCTGAACAGTTTTTGTTCTGGTGTCGACGCATACGTGGGACTAGTCGGTGAACCTGCAGAAGAATAGGTCATTTTTAAAAACTTTAATAAACGTTGGAAAGTTTTGTATAATTTGAACAACTTTAGACTTACCAAAGCCAACATTTCGTCCTTTTGTCGGTGACAAGCTGTTAGTTCTTGGTGTGGTTGGGGGATTTATCTCACCAAGAAGGAAAGGCGGTAAGTAACTCATGTTAGGACTGCCAGAAGGTGAATGAGGTGGACTTCCAAGTGTCATTGGTTCCATTGTGGCAGTGATTTGGTTTTATCCGTTAGTTATCTATTGAACAAAAGCAAATGCAGAAAGTAACTCTTTGTTTTGAAATTTTAGTCACCCAGTCCGCTTTCTCAATTCAAATGAGTCGTTGAATTCAATAATTGAATTTATACGATTGACAGCCACAAACTTGACAGCATTGACAGTATATTGACATTGACAGAACTTGGACACGGCATACCTACAATAGGGTATTTAACGTTTTGTTAAAGTTTGAATAAAATAATTGTTAAAGTTTGAATAGCCAAAATCGCGCTGAACACGTAGTATTTGTGTAGCGATGGGTCGTCATCCATTTTTGAATACGGTTGCGTTGCGTGATTAAATGTAACGCAACCGCTATCAGCCCTGTGATTCTGTAAAAATCGTCATTTAGTATAGAAATTCAATTGATTTCCATAAATTTTAAAAAACCTCTGTGCTCACTTCCATTATGTTAGTTTCCATTTTCGTCTATACCATTAAAAAAGAAATTTATTCAAAGTTTACTTTATTTTAATCGAGTTGCGTTTGCATGAATCGAACTAGTTAAATTTCAACTCGATATTGATCCAAGTTGATCCGAAAGATCCATAACAACACTGACAATTCTATTCGCTTTGGTTTGACGTCATGAATTGGCGTTTAGATCCAACAATTTGTGCTGCCATCTAGTAACATAATTTTTTGTAGTTTCTTTATTTTTAAATGACGTGAATTCGGACACTCATGTGTCCGAATTCACGTCATTTTGTCTAGAAATTCTATTGATTCCATTTATTGTATAAAAATACAAAACATAATTGATTGAATATACGTGTCTCAGATATTCTATTCCTATTGCATTTCAAAACTCACTTCACTTATGCCACGAAATGTTATTACCAATTCAAAATTGAGCGGATGCCGCTTTTAGAAGTGAATTCAATTCGGGTGTGGATTATTACAGATTGCCGATCGCCAATATCAAAATTGTCTATTATACAGTTATTTCCACAACGCTATAAATTCAAAGCGACTTTTACTCTTATGCGAATGCGATAAAGCTCCATTTTGGGTTAGTTACTTGATCACTCCGATAGCCGAACTACGCGTACGTACAAACATATATCTATTTCATTCATACGTATACTGACATCCTGTTGTTGTTTCATTCACACATGACAGGTTGCAGTGTTAGCGACCATATTATTTAAACGCTTTACATTCTATACGGTTGACTATCATGACTATCAATGTAAAGCGTTGATCTCAAAAAGATATCTACGTATCGTTGCGTGCGAACTATGATCGCTGCTTCTTGGTGCTCGCCGATATTGTCGAAGCGAGTCGCCCAAACATCAACCTTTAGTGATTTAATTAAGAGTAATTCAGCTTTACTTTAAAGCGTTGTTTAAAATGGATAGTTATTGTATCACTAAATCATGAGTGATCGCGGTTCAGGTATATCACTAGTTGCATAACTGTCCATCGCGGATAACGTCCATCGCTATTTGTGATGTCACATGCTGGTAAATATGTCAAGGCGACATAACCTATTTATCAACTATTTATTTACGAAGTAAACAAATGGTATTACAGTAGAGAAATTAAAGTAAAATTTTATGTTTTGTATTTGTATCTACTCTAGTATTGTTTATAAAAATGAGCTGCAAATTGTGTGTATAAATACAACAAGTTTCAAGATAACAGCTTCGTGTGTACGTGTGACATCACATGCCGGTAAACAGAACCTATTATTGGTTGCAACGACTACAATAAACATACGTTAATAAAGATAAACATATTTTGCCTGCAGATTTTAAGTAATAAACTTTGTTACATTATTATCTGATAACATGTTAATATAATAAACTATCTTAACAAAAATTCAACAATCAATAAGAAACGAACAGCAAGGCTATTATAACTTTAAATTTTAAAATCACAAAGATACGTATAGTTATTATACAATCGCTACTGAACTTGCATGTCGACGGCGGACATCGAGCCAGGCGTTATGTTAATTCGTACGGTGGGTATGTGCTTTTTGGTTCTTATAATAATATTGTCAATAATAGATTGACTTCCTACTCAACCTACTACCTACTCTAGAAATCAGTTTTATTGAAATATATTAGTTATTGAGTATCTATATTAGTCACGCTCTCTTAAAAATCTCTGCGGTGGTGACGTGTGTCATGTCGTTACCTACGTTCCTTGAAATAGAGTTGCGAACCAATGGCTGGCTTATTTGTCAAGTTCGTCAACGGGTGCTGCCAGTGGGGATGAGCCTGCACTGAACTACTTCATTTCGTCCATTCTCTATTATTATGAATATTGTATATTAATTTGTCAACGAGTATGTATGACTTGGCAACCGGCATTTTAATTAGTGATTGAAAAATATCTATATTGTTATTTCTAATATTGTAATAGAAAGCGACTTCATAGTCTAATTAAGTCACATTACAATAAAACTTATCATTGTGAATTAAAACAGGGAGAAAAAAGCAACCCTTGTAGTGTTTCTTGCTCTTCTCTGTGCAAGGTCTCCCGCCCTAGTTTTGCGAAATATTGGTATAGTTTTCGACTTTCACGAGTACTATTTATCACCCTAGACTAAATTGAATTTTATATTAATATATTTGACGTTTGGATGCATAATGGCACATATGGAAATACTTCACATAAAAAACGAGCTGAATTCCGCGCTCCGCTGTTTGTTCTTCACTCAGAAATAAAATTTTAATGAATATCATAAACAGACAATTATCCGAAAATCGCTAGTGACATCTAGTTTGATTTCAAAACTATTTTTTAATTTTCTAAATACCTCCTCAATAACTCAAGTGAATAGAGACTCGAGTAAAATATTTTTTTCACCCGATGAATTTTACGATTTTGGAAAATTCCCTTGAATGACTTGAGCAAAACAGGACTCGTGTCGCATCGCTATCTCGAATCGATTTATTATCGATATTAATCACAGCTCTGCGCTATTCCATTTCTGTATATTGTTAGTACCGAATATTTGTCAAAATAAAATACAGTCAAACAAACGAATGTGAACATGGATTCTACAGATGAATTCGAAAATTCTTTTAATAAATATGAGCATGATAAATTCTTACCAAATGCATCAAGAAATGTTTTGCATCATAATACAAATATTGTGCATAAATTGTTCAACAGAGAGGTAAGTTCACAGTTAAAATGTTTACAATAATTATAGATCTGTGGGTTACATTTAATTATTTTTATTTACCTACTATATTATAATAGTAATTGTACAATTTTAAAGACTATATCTATATAAAGTTCTGTTATATCTTATACCTACACGTAGGTAATTCTCTGCATCTATTAAGTTAGCAACACAAAAATATCATTAATTTTCAAAAATGTCGAAATAAAGTGGGTGTTAAATAGGCATAACGGGAAACAAAAATGTTAATTTTTAGTATTAATAATTATAAATAGTTATTAATTTAATGACCTCCCAGAACAATCTTAAAACATAAAGATTTATATCTTTACATTTTGAACTGACCTTTATGTATTTTTTTTTGTCAATAGGTATTTGGATGCACCTCTAGGAAGCAATATGAAAGGAGCAAAAAGGTGTTTGACAGGATACCACCAAGACTGCGATTCTGCCTCATGGACATTGTACCAATGTCATATCTTAGAGAACATGTGTTTATGGGCTTCTCACAGTGTGGACAGTTCCTTCTGAGCTTTACATACAGTTGCAATACACAAGTGTACTTCAGAGAGAGTTCTAAGTTTACGTAAGGGTATTTATTTATTTATGAAAAGGACCATAACAAAAAAGTAATAAGTTCGTTGTATTGGTTGCTCATAATATTTAAATGGACTATGACATGATTAACTAAATAGAAAAACCATAATTATCATTAAATATTTATTAACTAATCATATTTTCTATAAGGAGAACATTCAATCTTGTTTAATATGTACATTGGTGCTAATTTACTGTACCACTAAAATATACTAATGTTTTAGCTTTAATTTGTTACTTTGTTAATTTGCTTGTTTTAAAGGGAATTGTTCAACCTTTGCTTTTGGTGCACAAGCTATTCAGTAAAAAAATATGCATACAGCAAAAACAATTTAATACTGTCATCATGGGAAATAATCACAAAACTTAATAAACTAAAAAGTATTTTTTTGGACTCGCCACAGGAAAGTAAACATTGATCCCTGTGTTTCCATGTCAATACATACTATTGAAGTTCTATTACAAATAGCTAATGGATTAATAGGGAATATGCATACTTCTGGAAAATGTTTTTATATAATAATTTATATCAATATATAACTGCAAAAAAAAATATCCGGCACCGAAAAAACAAAATTTTGTAAAATTAATAATTCATGAAAATAAGTTATAGTTATGAGCAGTTTAAACACCGGAATTTGGCGCTCTTGGCGTAACGTCAAAGTACACGACTAGAGATATGACATTTTAAATCAATAAGGAGTTTGAGTGATTGATTACTATTCAATTACCCAAATCAATTAACAACTAATCCATTTATTTTAAGTATAATAGACTTTTTAATAAATCTTAATATAGTTTTATAATTAATAGTTAATATAATTTTAATATAGTTTACTAAATTGATTAAATAAAAATATAAGCCTACAACATCATTTAAATTGTAATCTGTTGTTTATTTTGCTACATAATACATTGATGTTATTGCATCGATGTCAACTTTTTGTGACAAGGACATCCATATACGTGTACATTTTCGTCACATCCGTTCTGACAAGTAGCATGGCGTTTCAATATTTTGAAGTTACCGCATTTTTCTTGCACTTTTTAATAATTATTTTAAAGTATACAAATTTATGTTAAAAAATATTAACATAGACTTTATTCTAAAGCAATAATAATCTTAATAAAGTATATTTAACCCTTTCTTGAATCAGATGCATATTCCTTATTGCCAAGTAATCTTTAAAATAAATCACATAAATATGTACATATTACGACACATTCTGTAATATTTCAGAATATTATGTTATTAATCATCTAAAATTAAACTAACAACATACTAAACAATATTTTCGGTTTGTTAAATAAATTGATTTTACATACAATCAATAATTAATATTTATATAACACCACCATACTTTTTATCAACACAACAATAATGTTTGGTTTTGAGTGATAAATATTTATAAAAACCTATTGATGAAAAGGGATTGTTAAAACTAATCGAAGTTATTATGTGTAATTGACAGAATTGTTGTTGACACAAAATAGTCATTACAAGAGAAGAAGAAAATTCTTTGCTGTTAAGTTACTTTCAACTACTTACTATACTTTTTCTGCACTATAAGTATAGTTTCTCATCTGAATTGATTTGACAACGGATATATCTATTCTAATCTTTCAAAATAAAGACCATATCTACTTCTGGACACCGAACCAAGTACAAGTAGTGAACATTGACAGTGGAAAGTGAATTGTGGTAAATCTATAGTATATCAAATGTATTCCAAACAATTTGTCTTAAGGAACACATGAGCAATATAATTTTTTAATGGATATTAGAGGTAAGATCATTAGAGTAACTTATTAATGATTTTACAGGTTTTTTACATTTTGTAAATAAATAATATAATAAATTAAATTCTTTTAGGTACATGGATCTAATCACAACTGTCATCCATGCTGGCAACAAGCAAATAGACTACAGGTTCTAACTAATATACCAGATCTTTTACACATACAATTACTTCGCCAGATTATACAAGAGCAGCCGATTCACAAACTTATTTTTTTTTTCTTCTGGATTGTGACTGAACACAGCATATGATAGTTTCCTGTGGATAAAATTGGTTCTCAATTTTAACTTTTATGTGTCAGAAAACAGTGGCATATGTAGTTTTCATTATACTAATTGGGCTAAATGTATGTTTATCATACAACCTGATTATACATTTACAGAAAGAATAATGTTAGCAATTTTTAGATAAGATTAAAAATGATCCAAAATATTTGTATATTATAAATAGAATATGAACTTGTTTTTCTTGATATTCTTTCAAACATGTGATGTAATATTCCTTTTATATAAGAAAGTCAGTAGTAAGTATGTCAGGAAGTACTTATATTAATATAATGATAAATATAATGAAGATGATTTTTCTGACTATTAATGAGAATCTGTTCACTAGTAATGAATGTGATTTGCTTTAATTCATCAATCCTGCTAGCTATCTGGTAGTTTAATTGGAGTGTGAAAGGTTGTGGGTTCAAATTCCACCTCAAACAACTAAGATTTGTGAATTTTTAAATATTATTATTAATGTATAAATGATCAAATATAAAAAAATAAAATATTTTGTAAGCAATTACTTTTCTGGTGACATTTTTATTAGAAGTCTACACATATATGTTACTATTACACACTATTAAGTTTTCCTGTTCAAAAATCAAGTTTTTTAAAATCCCAGATAATGTTCACTTAAAGCCAAAGTGCCTATACAAACTAAACAATTCCCTTTATTCTATAGCCATGTGTAATTACAGAAATATGATATAGAAATATACACCTGTATGTTAAAAAATAACAAGTTTAATTCTGTTATCTTTGTTTTCACAATTGAAAATATAATTAGCAGGATTAAACCTAAATTTAGTCTTCTCTGTGCAACAGAATTACTACCATTGCATTTCAATGCACTTATTAAGTATTTAATGAACTGATCAATGAATATGTTTACTTTTAAGGTTTCCATTTCATTGCAAAAATGTATTTTTATAGATAAAATCATTCAAGTTTATTTACAATATGATAATGACTATGTTGAAGCAGAGAATAATTGTTTTACTGCCCTCTCAAAGAAATAAGAAGCTGAATATAAACATTGTTACTAATTTATTTGGATAACAAAGTTTAACAATATATATTAATTATTATCATTATCATGTTTAAAAAAACTATTAATCAGTTTTTTTTTTAAATACCTGAACCTGATGTACATATCTGAATTTTTCCTTCTAATACTTAGGATATATTTTTTTATTAGCAATGGTTTTGCAATACTGAAATATTGAGGTCATTTGGTATTGGCAAAGAAACTAAGCATTAAGTATATGTAACATTACTCAATTCCATTTCAATTTTGTCATAATAACAGATTTAAACTAAATTTAATACAACTTAATTGGCTATACAACTCTCTCACAACATACAAAATTATATTTTCAGACTTCATTTTTTACTATGGGTGCCTGGTCGTGTGGTTAAGCCAGTTCACAGCATACCTTTGTTTGGGGATGACTGTGTTGACAGTAAGGTGACCATATCCATGGCGCAATGGAAACATAATCCTGGCGTCATTGTCGTCTATGGTATTGCGTGAGTATTTTTAATTTTAAATTAGCTTAAAGAAATTACGAAACAAACTTGAAGAAATGCTTTGCTGAAAACCCATGGGGGAGGCCAAGATCGTACAGGATTAAATCGATCAAGTATTATTAAAGTGTGATGTCAGAAGTATGAAAAGAATAATGAACTTTAAGATGTTTGACGTGTGTAAAGATTCTGCCTGGATCCAGCATGAAAATATAAATTTAAGACATAATTCGTCCATCAAATATTTATATTCGACAAAAAGCAATTGAGCAATCAATGCATAGTATGTGCGCGCATGCATGCATTTAAAAGTCGATGGCAGTTGTCTAGTGTTGGTGAACAAAAATTGGCCTATTTTGAGGATTTGACCTACCTGAAATTTTCAATTCATTTTGCGTTCCCTTTTATTTCAAATAACATACAATACAGCTGCAATAGCCATACAAATTTCACGCATACCACTGATTTAGCTGATATTCGAAACACTAATAAAAGAAAGGCCAGATCGAAGCTACTAAAATATTGTAAGTAAATGTATTACAAAAATAATTTTATTTTTTTAGAGACTCATGTTCCGAACGATCATACCTCAGCGTTATTGGAGTACCTCGTTTAGGATGTAAAAAATGCGCGGCTAATTCTAGAGATGAAGGTAAATATTTCCATTTAAATCTAGATCTAATTCTAAAAAAGCTTCATTTTCGTAAGTACTCAATTTATTTATTGTAATTTCTAGATGATCTCAATTGGGGCAAGAGATGTTTAGAGCACAACTTTGCTATTCACACAAAGTTTTTCTGTACCTCTGACTCTAGTATGTACGAACCAGTTGTACAGCTAGCCTATTCCAACCAAATTATAATCTACACAGACTTCATTCACATATTAGAGATAGACTTTGTTAAACCAGACCAAGAGAGAAATGAACTAATAGAAGATAACAAATTCTCATTAGATAGAGAAGAAACAAATTCAATGGACACTAATCCGAGCACACCGGGGTCTGACGTGTCTGCCCCTTTCCAATCACCAAAATATCAAAATAACGTCGTCCAAAACATCCTAGCTGATTTCTCCGATTTAGAGGTAGAACCGTATCAAATGTCAAGACCGGTGTTGTTGCCCGATATGATGGGACAAGAGCTATGCATACAAGCGTCGTCGATATCGCACAATTTGGTCGAAGAGTGGGAAGGACCATCGCCTTCCATAAGGACGTTAATCAGCCCTCCGCTCCGGTCACCGCGACGAAGGCCGGCAGAGAGCATGTCCCGATTCAACGAGACTCATAGAATTAATGCCGAGAAAGCATATGAATTTGTCGAGGAAACAGAAACGAAATGCGAGAAACTCAGTATGTTTCGGAGAAGGCGATTAGCTGATAAGAAATATGAATTCTCTGAGGATAACAACGAGAATATAGTCCCGTACAGGGTATTAAGGAGTAATAGAAAGTATTTTATAGGTTCCACTAGTAAGAGTCAACCTCGACGTCCGAAGTCCCCTCCAGTTGAGTGCGTGGTCCTCAGAGCTCACAATCAAATAAGTAGACCACCATCACCGACCACTAGCTCGTATATGAAATCTTCTAGCTTATCTTTAGATTCTGATAGAAACAGCGAGTCAGAGTACAGAGTAATGGAGATGCTGGATGATGGCTCACTTAAAACTGTAGCTGTTCATGATAACACCTCTAAGACTCTCTCCGATTGCCCGGTCAGCCCTCAAGATCCCTATTTGGTACATTCTGGTAATTCCAAATGTAGTAAATTTTTCACAAGATATTTTGTGGAAAGTGACGACGAAATAACATCAATACTAACAGATTCCGAAGGTATGTATGAGCCATATGTTTTTGATCGTTTTTCTAATATTTTGAACTTAGTGAGTGCAATAGAATTGGTGAAAAATGGTTCTTTCAGGCCTTTTCTGATTAAAACATTTTTATTTAATATTGATGTGCAAGTAAAGTTGGATATTCAATACCCCATCAAATTATAATGTTTGTACGAATCTACGTTACACCAATTTTTTGCTACATATATCGATAATTAAATAATGTCTCATGAATATATATAATATCTATAATACTACTACATAAACGATCTATGTAAATTACACTGTGGTGGCGGTAGAATATTCTCTTACGCAGATGATACTGCAGTGGTGTTCTCTGGACGGTCTTGGTCTGAGGTGAAATTGATAACTGAGAGGGGATTGGCTGAGCTGGCTAGTTGGTTAAACAATAATCTTCTCACTTTAGACATATCTAAAACAAATTACATGTGCTTTACCCCTAACCTCAGAACTCAACCTTGTTCTGATTATCGTATTGTAATACATACATGTGAGGGTCGTAATGAACGGAATTGTAATTGCCATCCATTCAGAAAGTAGAGGAAGTCAAATATTTAGGAATCATGATGGACCAGAGGCTTTCGTGGCACTCACATCTGGATTTAGTTGCTAGTAGGGTTAGAAAGCTTATATACATTTTTAAAACATTACGAAGTGTAATGACGAGTGAGTTACTTAAAAAAGTCTATATAGCGTTAGCTCAGTCTGTCATTGCTTACTGTATTGCTATTTGGGGAGGTGCGTCGAAAAATAAATTCCTGTGTCTTGAGAGGGCCCAGAGGGCTTTATTAAAAGTCATGAACTTCAAGCCATACAGTTTCGCTACAACTGAACTCTACGCTTTGAGTGGAGTTTTATCTGTGAGAAAGCTCTATATCCTATATCTAACTCTAAAAACCCACAAAGTGTTGCCTTTCAATCCTACTAAAAACTGTAGGAGACGTAAGGGCAAAGTCATTCCCATTTCTGCGGTTCGTACAGTATTTGCTCAGCGTCAGTTTTCAGCTCAGTCTGCAGTAGTTTATAATCAACTAAATCTAAAATTAAACATATATCCTATGCAACATCATATATGTAAAAAAGTAGTTGCAGATTGGCTTGAAAAACTGACCTATGAAGAAGTAGAAAACTTGCTGGTGCGACCTTTATGAGATCATAACAAATAAACACGTTCACAAATACACTCACATGCATGCCCACACACACTCACGCACGTACACTTCACACACACACATACACACACACTAAAATAACAAAAAAAAAAACAATGTTAAAATATGATAATGTAAAATATGTATCACTGTTTTTCCTTAAAAAATGGTAAGAGCGAGATATCTCCAACACAAGTATTACTTTTACTTGCTGGAGTAATCTCATGTATAATTATGTTAAATAAGTATGGAAAATAAAGGATTATTATTATTATTATCTATGATCTGCGCCCATCAAATTGTTTACATATATGGTTCGGAAGGCACGTTGAGCCGTTGGTCCTGGCGGCATTTGCATTCGTTAACTTCCCAATACGCACCGAGTCCGCGTGGCGGGTCAAGCATGGTCCATTCTCCCTATTCGTTTCCACCTATAGAGAAATAATGATGATGTTTATGCGCAGACGACTGTATGTCCGGGTACCACGTGGCGTTACACCTGACCGCGCACGGGGCGGGCTACGCGCCGCTGCAGGCGGTGAGCGCGGGCGCGTGGGAGCGAGTGCGCTGCACCGCGCCCCCACCCCCTCCCCCTCCCCCGCCCTCGCCCTCGCTCACTGTGCGCGCGCGCCAACGGTCACTCGACACCGAGCTGCTGTGCAACGAGGTCTGCGGCCGCCTATGCAAGATCAACGGCAACAAGTTCATATACTGCTTCGACTGGGGCTGCCATGTCATAGACGTCTGCCAGTCGAGCGGTTGCCTCTCCGGGGTGAGAACTTTTCGTTTTAACATGGAAGAGTCGAGAGGCTGAACTGTAACAGGCAAATACTATTAAATATCTAATTTGAGACCAGGAAGATGATGACCCTTATATCTAACAGAAACCTTTCTTTTAAATAAAGTAGAAAAAAAGCTCTGTTTTATCCCCTAAGCAAAAAATAGACACGATGTCAATGGATGAACCTTAAACATATTTCCAATAAACTGTTATTAATAATAATAAAGTGGTTTCGATAAATAGGATATTGTTTGTAAAGAATGATTATCTGGTGTGTAGTTATGCGCGATGTGGTTGTGGGCGAGCGTGGAGGCGGGCGCGGAGGCGGAGGCGGGGGCGGGGGAGTGTGACGCGTGCAAGGACGCCAGTGCCGGGTGCCTCGCGCACAGGCGACAGTACGCTGCAGAGGTACACATACACCATGCCGTCACACGTACACCTCGCCCGCACATATACACTATGCCATCACTCGTAAACTATCCCCGGACATATACACTATGCTATTACACGTACACTATGGCCGCGCACATACAGTATGCCATCACACGTACACTATGCCCGCACACACTTTGTTTAGTATATAACGTGTAACAGAAATAATGCACATCCTTATACACCCCAATTAGAAAATGCATTTATAATCAAAAAACGAAAATTGGTATTTTACTTTTATGTACTAAAATATTGTTTGTGTATGGACACAGTTACACTAATTGCTCGGTAACAGTGTGAACATCTTACAAATCCACACAATGACGTCAGAATTATGGTTTAGCCTGCAATTACGAATGTATGTACCTACAGCGCGATACCACAATGGTACGAATGGTGATTCGAGATTCAAAGTGTTTTTTTAAGTTTAGATAATAATTATGATTCTTACTTGTAATTAGTATCGGCTAGTATAGTCTTGCGATCACATATCACACGACGAGCACAGTATCACCACATTGTACCTTACCCTTAAGCTTTTTTATGTATTCACTGTTAGTATATCGAAGAATTATCGTGAAATTGAAAATTCGATAAACTTAAATTGCTATAAAATAATCATCCACTGCCAGTGTCACGTTTGTCACATATGTCGTGTTTATTTATGGTATATTGTCCTTCTCTTTGTTTATAAATTATTTTACTGCGTTTAAGGGCATTTTAGAATTAAGGTACGTTAAAAGAAAGCTAATTTTTCTTTGTTTTTTTTTTCCATGTTGTATTTTATTACAAACTAAGAATATACTTAGTGCATTTTAAAAAGCCTTGTTACATTCAATTAATTTTTTTTTTATATTTCGTGACGGCTGTAATGGTTATAGGTGACCAGGGCATCATACTTGATTCTAATTAAATTTAGCAAAAAAATTACCTATATTAGAAGTTTTTGAAATGGAATTAGTATCTGATTTAATAAAAACTACTTTCAGGATGTGCGTTATTTATGTTACACCATATGTTACGCTCAAAGATGGAAATCGCTCATTGTGCGAAAAAATAGTTTACAACGCGATGTGGTCACAGTAAAATATCCACATAGCGAAATTCGTGTTATGGCTTTAATGGGAACGCTCATGACGCGTTGTGGCAATCGCCGAATAACCACATAGCGAAATCATGTTTTATTTTATTTATTTACGAAAACAAACAGTCGTTTACAATTTAAATACAATCAAAGCTTATTTAAATAATAGACCTGACAGTTCCATTACTAAATACTAACAACATTTATTTAATTGCTAACTATTAACGATAGTGATGACATCGAATAAACTTAATCTAAACATCAAACAAACAGCCTCTCCACAATAATTTCAAAAACTCAATCTGATTATTCATTTTTAAATATAATATCTCCCACTTTTCGTTTATATTGATTTAGTGATAGCGAAAAAATGTCAACGTTATTTAAATTGTCATTGTACAATCTACAGGAGCGTCTTATAAATGTTTTGAGCATTAATTGGTTTAACCACATATTTCATTTTACAACAGCGATGCGCTTTTGGCACTTCGCCGGCCGCTGCCGCGGCACGCTCATTTTACTCTATCGGCTTGTGCGTTGTTGTCATACTCTAACCTAACCTAACCCAATATGGTTCAATACGCTTCATGGTTTTCTTCATTGCCACAACGCGCTGTGGTCGAATAGCATGATAGCCCTGACACTGATTTCGCTATGTGGTTATTCTGTGAATGCCACATTGCGTCGTGAGAGTTTCTATAACAGCCATAACACAAAATGCGCTATGTGGATATTTTACTGTGACCACAATGCGTTGTGGACTTATTCTTTTCGAGTAACATATATTTTAATTATATAAGTAACATTGACCTTAGTACTTCTCGGAGCTAGAGTTACTATTAATATTTTATGTTAATTCGTATTCATTTATTATTATAGTGTCTGTTTGTATGGGATCTTGTCAGCGGAGTGTACAGAACTGAAAGAGCTTCCATGACTGAGGATAACAGCCAGGAAGGTTCTCGAGGTAAAAAATATTAATTAATTCTATCATTAACAGAGCAGTAAGTCTCATAAATCAATTGCTTCAATAAAGATAGTTATAGCTGTTAATGTTAAAATTATTTATTTTATCTAAACATACGGTAAATAAAACTATTGAGTTTTGTACGTCTTTGTAAAGTTACATATATACTTTATTTAAAATATAAATAAGTAACTAAAGAGTTACAATAGAACAGTTAACAATACCTTCTTTTTAAGTATTTGATGTAGGACATGAAAATATTATAATATATTTTAGTTTGTTTGTTCTTTAGCTATATAGAAATATTAAACTTTATCTGTATCTAACTATGTAGAGTAGGCATAGAGATATTAGGCTTTAGTTAATTTTAAGGTTCTATTAAACAAGATTTGAGACTAAATAGTAATGAACAGTTTCAGGCGCGGATAGAGCCAGGGAGTTGGCGAAGAGACTCGGCCCAATCAACATGCCGCCCGGCAACGAAAACAGATTGCTCACTACATTGACCGGTAACAATTTATATGCATTATAATTTTTACTTCGTTTCGTTTCCCAAAGCGGAGATTGAGAATCTTTTGCGAGGTTTGGTCATAGGATGGATGATCAAAAAATTATTACCTCAAGCTCCTTCATGCTTCGTTAAGCCTTAGGTCTTGGCTGCATTAACAGTAATTAATAATTCACCCTCTTTGATATCCTCCATAGAGCAGGGGGCCAATTCTACTAAATAAATTTTGTTTAAATCGAATCGAAAACTAAATAAATTTACATAAATCTACTAAATAAATTTTGTTTAAATCGAATCGAAACCGAACGAAACTACGGTTTTTAATGGTTTTCCTATTCTACAAAGTGACATACGATACAATTCCAGTTCTATTTTAGCTGGAATTGTATCGTATGTCACTTTGTAGACTTTGTTATTTAGTAGAATTGGCCCCCAGCTCCCCACTGCTCTAGTGGGGACGTTAAACGGCCGTTGTTGATGACCTACTGATGGATATTTTCATTTTCAGGGAAATCCCTAAAGAGACTGACTGATGTAGACAACTGCATTGAGATCACGAAGAACCATCCAGACAGCTCCGAATCGGAGTCGTCGTCCGAGGAGGACAGTGATTTTGACTGATTTTAGAGTAGAAATATATCAGTTAATACTTTTTCAAGTTGCTGTGAGTCGTATGTTAATGTTATTTAAGTCAATGTCAAAGCAGCTGTTTTCTTTCTCCTGAAATAGCTCACAACAGACATTGCAGTCAACGGTCTTTTCACGAGACAATTTAGATATCTCCAGTTGTTTGAATGAATTGAATTTCTTTAATGATTTACTTCTAAATATAGCAATAAAGCTAGAGAAACTGTAAATAGGTAATTGCTTTATTAAAATGATTTCTGATTAGAATCTACTACTCTGTGTTCGATAGTTATCAGCACAATCTATACAATATATGAAAATGGTAAAGTTCATCAAAATGTGCAACGAACTCGGGGCTGATGTGTATTGTCTTTTGTTACACCGAATCTAGGAAACCTAGTCACCATAACTATAGAATAAACACTAAAGGTATTCAGGTTTTTGTTAATTTTATAATTATTCTACTTGTCTCAATGTAGAGAGAAGAATCTGTTCGTCACCCTGTGTAAATATTGTATGTAGTGTTATTTGTATTTTCAAAAGGTGCTTTTTATAAAAATCTCTGCTTTTATTTCTAATATCAAAATATATCTCATTTTGTGATTTAAATCTTTGTGTCTATAATTTTTGGACAATCGGGAATATTCTGTAAGTAACCAGATTTCAAAATTATTAAAAACATAATTAACACATAAAACATTTGACAAATTATAATAGTCCCTGTTATTGGATGTTATTATTTTTTACAAACAAGATTTTTATTGTAAATTTTGATTAATATTCTCATCATTTATATGTTATAAGAATATTTACCTGATGTACTTTTTTAAAACGTAATCACATGGATGATATTAATTAGTGTTAGTGAATATTTATGAAAAGATTTTTGTATAAACCAAATTTTGGTGCAATCTAACTTGCACAACTTTTAGGGTCACCTATCTTATCTTCATATTACATCATAAACTAAGGAAAGTTGGTGGTAAAATTTATATTCTATACAATCATTAACATGAGGTTAAATAACATTTATTGTTATCAGCTATAGAGTTCAAAATGCAGAAGTTTAGATCATTGTAATAACTGTGACCAGAATACTTGATCACACATATTTTCAAATATTGAAAATATGAAGTATAATATTTCAAATTATCTATGCTCATTGTATTGGTTGTGATCATTTGGATGTAGATTTGTTAAGTGAAGTGCCTGTGAGCGTTTATAACTTGACTTGAAGGTATTTAACCTTGATCTCTAAGCAAGTTATTCTGATAAGACTAATTTTATTTAATGTTTGACAAGCCATGCCACCTAATAGGAAAAATATACAGAGTCCAGTTTTACGGAACCACATATTTTTTTTACTTATTTTCAAAAGGGCCTTATATAAGTTCATACAATCATAATTTTTAAGGATGCGATCATAAGTTAATAAACTCCAAATAAACTGATATTGGTTTAACAATATTGCATTTATTTTGTTGATAAATGTGTGCTGAGAGCAATGTATTGCTTGTGGTATCATCACATTATTTTGATGAGACTACATGCAACAGGCAAGTTTTGCCAATGATACTAACTTTTAAGGTAACTTCAATATACTATGTATTAACTCTTGCCATTAAAAATGTATTTTAAAATTTAAGGTATGAAAATAAAGATGAAGCATGATGACATAATTTGTTTTATTATTATTCACATATGTCTTATTTGCCTATTAATAGGCCACAAACAGTGATCTATACATCAGTGAGTTTTGTGTGATAATTTATGTTGTTGTATTCAATTATCCTATATTTAAATAAAGACAATTGAAGTTTTTTAATCCGATAGAACATGAAATAGGTGACATTGCATGACTGTCCTTGTCTTGTCAAAATGTGATGTTATCACCATATTATATACAATACTACAAAGAATAGATGTTATTATCATTGATGAAGAATGGAATTTTAACACTACTATAGTTTTATGTAAACAATACATTTCAAATGATTTAGTGTCATAAAAGATATTTGACAAATATTATGAAAATTTAAAACCCCTATATGACATTGATTTACTTTTCCATGCATTAAAAAAATATTTCATTACTTGTTCTTAAAAAAATAGTCATAATTTAATAGGTGTCTCCAAGGTCACAAGCTAAACATATCTTCATTCTCTGTATCTTGTTCTCCACTTTGTCGACTCTGACCACTTTCATCCAACAGGCAGTCCAAACACAATCTGTCTATGTCATCCCAGGATAATTTGTTAAATTTGTCTTGTACTACTTTCAGCAAACGATTAGCTGTGCTTGCAGCTTCAGCATCCGACATTCCAGATTTTTTAAAATATCTAACTGACACTTCATAAAGCCCTTCTGGTTTCTTCACAATTAAATTTAACTTTGTTCCATCTTTTATAGAGGGATATGATTGAACAGTGTGTTCATCAGCTAAAGTTCTACCAAGGAGTAGCAACTTTTGTTCTTCAACAGGAATGTGTAACTGTTCACAGATTTGTCTTTTAATTTCAGAGATGCATGTGGTAGGCAGAACCTAAAAGGAGGCAAGTAGAATTACTTTAATAGTGCCATTTTAAATGGTGGATTGACGACTTGTTTCTAAGCCATCTGCTAAAAATATCTTAGAAATTATAAGAATCATACAATTTTTAAATCTGTGTACCTCTAAACTACATTCACCTCCTTGAAGCTTCTTCACGATTATCTTCATTTTGATTATTTAGTGCATTGACTTTCCACTTTACAATACTATGAAATATTACAATTTTGAGATTATATATTAAGAATAAATTATCTTAGGTTTCTATTAAGCAAGTATTAAATAAGTTTTGGGGTTTATATGACTGGATCAATAAAATTTATCAAGACCATTGACGTTTTCTCGCTTTGATGCATTTTACGACATTGACATTGACATATTTTGTTGAATGACATTTGTTAATACTTTTGTAAAGAAAGCATAGAAATATAGACATACAGCCTTTTCTTTAGTTCAAATTGATTACATATGAGTATTTTTGGTAAAGATTATGATGATAATTCTGCAACAAAAAATTCTTTATATTTTTATTGTATGGATTATCCTCGAGAACGTCCTATTAAAGTTTTATTACGATTGGATAAACAGTTTCTTGGTAAACTTGAAATAAATTCAGACCCTGTTTGTTACTAAAGATACATAAATTAAATGTTTTAAAGAAACTAAAATCTAGAAAAAACTAAAATATCGAAAAATAATTATAAGGCAAAAAAAAACGACAAAGGCAAAAGTCGGACTGTTAAAAACATGTCCAACAAATCTTCCCCTGAATTATTTAATTTTTAACTTTATGGACTACACAACCCGCTTGCGTGAAAAACAACTAACAAAATGTGAAGTGTAATGGCTGGAAAAAGATAAAATTTTAAACACATAATACATTATATTCAGTTGGATGCATAAAATTATATACCCATTTTTAAACATTCTCATTGTATTACTAATACATATAGATATATTGTGGTATTTGTAACAAAAAAGTCATTAAATACCGATAATAGCGTTGCATAGCTGCCATATTTGATTTTTTGTTAATGAGTGATGGTGATAAAAAACATAACCCTTCCTTTGCAGTCGGATAAAAATAATTAAATAATTTTTCAACTTATTGGAATCAGTTTCTCTTTTGAAAAGTAAAGTTGATAAGTGATAAAAATTAATAATAAGAGATTAAAAATGTAGCTCCTATTAATGATTTATAATTAACTAGTGGACGCCCGCGACTTCGTCCGCGTGGAAGTCGGTATCCCGTGGGAGTGAGAAGTTTTCCCAGTAAAAAGTACCCTATGTGTTATTCTGATGTATAACCTATATTGCTGTAAAGTTTTATCCAAATCCGTCCAGTAGTTTTTTCGTGAAAGAGTAACAAACATCCATACATCCATACTTACAAACTTTCGCCTTTATAATATTAATAGGATTAGATTCTATATAAAGTATGTAGACAAAGCTAAAATATATTAAACTAAAATGAAACGAACATCTTACACCAAAGTAATTAATCAGTAAAAAGATTTTATGTTTGTATTTATGACATATAAAAAATAACTGGCATACACGTTATAAGCGTATTACAAAAATAAAATAGATTCATGTTGAAATATTGTGATTGTTACGGGTTGCATTTTCCAAAATTATAAACAATTTTATTACCTAGGTGATATTTGAATTTAATTTTCGTCAGCTACCTGCTGTTCCCATACGAAACTTTCTTCCGTAAATACCTATGGAACCTAAATTAGAACACATTGAATTAGATGATAGTAGGATAACATCTGTTTATGTGTTTGATATTGAAGGTGAGATACTTTACCATTATCTGTAATGTTGACTTTATTAAGTCATATTATCTTTAAACTTAATGAACGGTAATGTTAGTTCGCCGGTCAGAAATAGTTGAAAAACAATTTATACATAATAACACTTTCTGAGTTTTATTTTCTGTTGGAAATATCAAAAATACTCATAATGTTATTTTTTAATTATTCGATTCAATGAAGATGTGTACAGTAAACGGTTAACGAATTCGTAACACTACTGTTTTCCTTACAATTTATTTTGTAAATATTTATTTTATAATTTAGTCTTCTGAACGAAGAAGCTTGTAATCACTAGAGATATTGGCTTACTTTGACATCAAAGTGTAGAATCGAGATTGCGTTGCACAGTTGGACACTGCACTGCAGGGAGAAGCACGTCCATGCAGTGGTGGACTAACCTCATCGGAGGTCCGGGGCGGCAATAGGTTTTTCCAACCAGGGTAGAAACTTGTTATTGCTTTTACAGCCCTCCACCCACACCCCGTGCATACAGTTTTAACTTTATTATATTATTATAATTTTGGGGGATGGTTGCAACCATTTAGAGGCCCCCATGACCGGAGGCTCGGGGCGGACTGCCCCCTCCGCGCCCCTAAGTCGGCCTCTGCGTCCATGTATAAAATATTTGGGTACTCTTGGACATACAACCAAAAAACGGGACAGTCTCGTTCAAAATGTCATGTCTGGTCACGTTAACCATATGGTGAGAATGGAAGGACAGTAATTATCCTTATTTTAGTATATCAGAGGGACAGAGCAACAACGTACCTTCTAAAATAGGAGTAATTGAAACTATTCATAATAAAAAAAAAATCTAATCAAATATTGGTACTTAAATTAAGTTATTTTCTCAACTGTTAATGTACAATTTATTTAAATACAAGTTACATGGATTTAGTAGATAGACCAACTTGAACTCATTTTTTTATTGCGATAAAAAAGTTCACGTAATCATGCGCCACCTAGCGACCCCATCAGAAACTTTTTGAGTTTTGGTTGGTTGGTTTGGCCGGGACAAGTTCGTAGCCTAGGAAACGGGTGTAGCTACAAGACAACAACACTGATAAGTCAATTTTCTTATCGTGTTATATAAATCCTAAAATATCCATTTACCTTTGTCATAAAATAAATAGTTTTGGCATCCTAAAAAAACTGTGTAAAGGAGACGATCATCTGGGGCTATGATAATTTTGACAGTTCAAAGTATGGCTGGCAGGTGGGTTTCGTATAGATTTTACATTTAAAAATTTGGTAGATAATTTTTGCAAAATATTTAAAGGCTCTTTTAAATTGCTTCTCGACATAGAAATGTTTTGTATCAACGCATAACACGTCAGTCCCGTTTGAGGGAAAGTGTTCCTTTGATATCACCCCAATCCCTGTGGATCGACCGATGATTGCGCATCAACAGTTATCTAGACGGGAATGGGAGGGAGCCCGGTAGCGCCTGGTACGGCACGATCCACGAACTGCTCCCTTAATTTTTCCTGTGAAAGTACAATTAGTTGTCAAATTTACCCTGTAAGAAGAGTTCCACTGCCTCTTCATTCCACAGTTGATATTGTTGAAACAGCAAAAATATGTCATAGTTCAAGAAACATTTCTTATGCTTAGTGATTAAATAGATTTTATCAATTTATGTTTTTAAAGTATGCCAATAAATAACATGACTATTTAAATTTACAATAAATTTCATGAAAATTTTGTTTTATGTTAACAAATAAGACAATATTGTTCACCCATGCATGTCACAACAACAGTAGGCAGGTGGTGGCACCCAAGCGTGACAACACAGCACCTGCTTGCACCCTCACTTATCTAATATATAAACAAAATAACTCCCTACTTACCCATGCGTACAGTATGAAGTCCATAAAACAAAAAGAGTCAGCATAATCTCACCTTAGCAGCAACTGACATAGTTACAGTTGTTTGATCAATACGGATACAGTATTTATCTGTAGTGGCTCACAATTATGTGTTACTGTTGTGTCATAGTTGTGTTTTCATATTAAATTTATAATATTTATCAAAATGTCTGAGATGGGATTTGAAAACGTGTTTTATCTGGAAAGTGAGTGTTGTTATATAGTTGTTGTATTGAGAGTGAAGGTGCGGAGGGACAGATGAGGTGTTGCCTGGATACGCTCCATGGATATTCTCTGCCACCTGAGCTCCCGGCAGATCAATAACATCTATATTGCTTGGGATAGCTTTATGCAATTAAACTAATTTGTTTTAGATTTTATATAATTATTTTCTAATGTAAATTTTAATTTCACTACATTCTTTTAATTGTAATTTTATATATCCTGTAAAGACATTATTTTTTAATAAAAGTAGACTGTTCAAATTTTTTTGCTTTTAAAAGCAAATAATAGGTGAACAATTCACTTATTATTTATTATGCTTTTTATTCAATATATTTATGAAATTTTATTATGTAGATACATATATTCTATTTATTTCAAATATATTGTGAAAAATTCTTGTGCAATCCATGTTAACTAAAACCTTTTGGAAATCAAATATATACATGGAGCCCTAAAATACAATAACAAAAATTTAGACAATGAGTAATGATTACACATTATACAATGTATTTATTCATTAGTCAATATTATTAATTAGTGACAACTATCAACATATTTTACCTATTTTGTAATTGCAGTGCTAAATATTTGTTTTAGAAAAAAATTGCTGATAATCCTTAACAATTCCAGTGATTTTTATGTATAAATTAGATACATATAAAAGAAATATCTGCTTGAAAAATGTATTTGGTACCATTAATTTTTATAAATTGAATTTCTGTTTGTAGCTAATTTATATTTTGAAATTTCTGGCATCACACTTTACATATATATTTTTAGTCAGTGTGATTTCTCTAGCAGTACATGTCTATTTAATAAACTACTTTTACATATTTAATTAAAAAATATTCTATCTAGAGTTGTAGTATTTACATAGATTGGATGGTTATTAGAACCTTCATGTATGGTGTCCTGTATTCATCCACCTATGCTGTAACTTGACTTTGTGATTAGAGTTTAATTACATATACACACATACAAGCAAAAAAAATGCCCTTATAGCTTGGAAATTCCTAATGTATGATATTATTATGTTTAATAATGAATTTACTTTTAAATAACAATATTTTTTATTTTATTTTATATTTAAATACAATTAAGTTAATTCTTATCTAATTTCAATAATGTTAATGGGTTTGTTTTAATTGCAGACTTTGAGTGTGGCGACGAGGTGCTTGTGGAGTCGTCGCCGCCTGCCTCGCCCGTCATGGCTGCTCGGCTCGCGGCCCCAGCGCAGGTATGATGTCGATTAATACCTATATTCACGGTCAGTAGGCTATTAAAATTTTGTCACCACCTACCAACTTCTATTGAAATATCCTAGTTCAGATTGTGGACTTTTTAATTTGTTACCTGTATTATAGATCGTGGTATAGCTAAGCTTAGGTGAAAGCTTAGATATGTAGTTGCTAGTAAAGTGAAATACAATATAATGCAAGTATACAAATTTCAAAAGTAGTGAAGCATTACATGTTGAGCTTTTCAACTTTGTTATATAATCACTAGCTGTTACCCGTCGTGGGAAATAAATAATCTGTGATTTCTAGAATAATTTAACAGTCATTTAATGCTGCGTCTTAAAATAGAACGCAAAATTTTTAATTGAAAAAGAAAAACAGTCAAATTGAGAAGCTTTTCCTTTTTTAACTCTGTTGAAAACTACGCTGACGTTCTGCTTTGGATCTGTGTATTTGCTCTCTAGGTGTCTTTTGAATGCCCTTAAAACAGCCTGACTTAGCATGTTCAAGACGTCATGGCTCACTCTATGACTGGAATTCAGGGGCCCTCAAAGTAGCTAGACGCTCTGCTTGTACATGTTTCTCAATTCATAATTTTCAGATATTCTAGCGATCGAGCTATTCTCTTCGCTTGGCACTCGTAATTATGTTGCAAGGCGTTATTTTTTGATTATTAAAAAAAAGATTAACTCCTAATAATAATTTAATAATTAATTTAGATAAGGATTCATGTCACGATACCGATATAATTACAATGACAAATCAAATAGTAAGCAGTGGTTTCTACGGCAACATTTTGATTCCCAATACAATCTTCCGCTCCCATTTTGATCTCTATAAGTTTAAAACTTTCTTACAAACGTTGCCACCCTTTTTATTCCTCTTCAGATTAGAATTTCAAGTATCTACGGCCAGCACACGTAACATGACAAGGACCTGACCTTTTCTTCTATACCTATATGTCATTTTCTTGGTTGCGCCAATACGATATCTCACTTAACCGGCGAAAAGTAACTTTTAGTGTAGACAAAGGGTTTCTCGAGTATGTCACGCTCCGCGTGTAGCAGTTGTATATCTCTACACTACTACTCTGAGTTCTGAGCTCTTGAGTCAACCTATATCAGGATAAAGATACTGTATTAGAAGAATCGTTGATTTTTGTGGGATTGGCTACTAAAACGATAATTTCGTACAACTGCTTCAGCCAGCCTACTCAGTCTGTTGGTAGATTAGCCATTGGTGTGTATAAAAAACTAGTTTGTTGACTGGATAAGAGACTAAATGTAATTATCCGTGTTTGGGCCATAACATTAGGCATATTTCTGAAGTCGACTTTTTATACATTCATAAAATAAAAAAAAACTCTCATTGTATTTTTCTGCGTGTCTAGGGTTCGACGGCAGGCGCCGGGGGCGGAGGCTCTCCGAGTAGTACAGTGCGTGAGCTCATCGTCATACCGGAACTGCCAAACTCTATACATCTTCAACACGCCATTCAACAGGTATCCATTTGCTTCTTAGGTGATTATACTATATATTATAAAGAAGAATGTTTTGTGATTTCGCCTTATATAACCTCTTGTATGAATTGCTGACGTGTGAAGCAACTAATGGTATTCCAAAGTAAAATTAATAAATAAATAATAATTTATAAAAGATGGTGATAAAGCACAAGCTCCACCATCTCGTGAGCATCGTACCCCCAGACATCAACCATTGTACGACCATCGATTGCCACGTGCTTGACTCAAAAGTTACAAGATCTTTTTAAGATACACTAATCGCACCACCCATCCAGACAGTTTGGAATAATTGGGAACCTCCACATATGTTCATATATGTGGAAGCCTGAAGAATTACCGGCGATGACAAGCGGTACCGTTAATTATGACGTGCGCCGATTGTCCTTAATATTGCTCTGAGTGCGACCTGCAACAAGCGATCGTTAGGTGCCTAGTGGGTGTTATGTATTTATGGAAACCTTGTTAACAAAGAAGTAGATAGGAACATTACATCTGTCTACTACTATTCAGAAACTTAACTTTTGAGGGATTAGACGTCTTCGAAACAGTTATATATTAAACAAGTGCTTTTATCCACTTTATGTGAAACCTGCTTTTACCATTGTCAGAAATGGTAAATTATGCGTTGTTATCTTGTTATTTTAACATTGGCAGGTGTCGAGCACGGTGGTGGAGGTGAACGGCGACAGCTCCGGACACTCTAGCCCCACTGCAGAAGCTCAGCATACATATATAACTGTCGCAAGTGAGTCTGAACTCATTCAACTACTCTCATGAAGCCTGTCTCACGCGCTATAATTGGTTACGATTGTAGAAGTATACGAAGCGATTTCTACGCGGGCACAGGAATAATAGTAATAGGTTATCAACAATGACAATAAAATAAGATTGATTGTACGACGAAAGCTATTAAATGCAATACTTTCTTAGGGTAATTACTTATTAAACAACTCCGAGTACGTTTTCATCACACTTGAAATCGCTTCGTATGCTGGTACAATTGTAAGCCAACTAGGAAGTCGATTAGAGGCAGTTGTTAACCGCTCGAAAAGAAGAATATATTGTATTAAACTTCCCAAGTCCCTAAAAGCGTGTCTTTGTCTATCCCAATAGATACTTATTACTGACTGCTCACACTACCGGCGAGGTCTTCTTCACAATTTGTCACAACGACAAATACTGTCCAATATAAAACTAGGGTAGTAATAATCACATTATGATCGCGCTTGGTATATACCAGGGTGGTGCGAGTAATCGCTCGTCAGACTCGCTTATATTCTAGCGGAAATACTATCGAGTAACATATTCGGTTCTCGTCACGTTTACAGTTTTATTCTGTTCTCGTTTATCGTCGGGAGCCGTGGAAATGTCTTAGAATGACATGTTCGGCCTCGTACGTTTTTATTTCTGCATTTATGCTCTATGTCCGTAAAATTGCAGCATTGCAACTCGAGCACTTTATAAGAGGTTTATTTTGCGCTGCACTTGATAAATCAAATTGAAAAGTAAAACGCTTTTTTTTCATACGAACGTGCGCCCTTCATAAAAATAAATGAATTCGGTACATTCGTTCTCAGTTGTGTTTATAATAAATCGTTTATTTATTGTAAAGATGAGTATTTCAATTTACGTTTTAATGTATGGCACTACACAATCGTCTGTCCACGTTTTAGCTAATAATTGACGGGATGGAATAATTTCTACTGTTTTTTGTGAGATAGGTTTGAGTGTCAGTGGATAGACGATGGTGCAGTGCAGTAAAAGTATGTTAGAATGCATGTAAAATGTCAGATGTGACTTGATTTTGAGTAGTCAGTTAAAATTTATGCTTTAGCTTATTAAACTTCTATGATTAAATTATATTTTTTAATTATTTTATGATTCCTATTTTTTTGGATACCTATTTTTTTATTTTGCACTTTTATCTCAGTTATTTTTTTCTTCAATTTTATATACACATGTCAAAAGATATGTTTTTTTTGTAATTTTGAATATGCATGCGTTATTATATTTTATGTAGAATCAGGCTGTTCATACACAGAAAGAAAGCGGAATCGAGAAATTACAACAGAACGATAAACATTCCAGAAACCCACAATATTTCTTTTCATGTTCGTTGCCTTTACTATAGTACCTATATTTCTTAATTTTTATACCCTCGGAGGCATTAGAAACGACTCAAAATATAATGTCTAATACATGGTCACTTAACAGTTTCATGAACCAAAAACTGACTTCAAAAATCTGTTAATAATACGGCGTCGACCGAAGCGCTGTCGCAGTGTTAAATGGTTTAATCTAATGGATTTTTTATTGCCTTTTGAAGTAGGTTTTATTTGATTGAACTTTTAATACTGTTGTGACAGCGCTCGATGATGTGTCGCTCGCTGTATTTTGTCTATGAATTTACTGAATATATTTTATGAATTTAGAAATATCTATTGTTTATTAATATAATTATCTTTTGGCAATATAATAATAGCATTAAACATAAAAATATAAGTCCAAAATCAATAGAAATGCCTGTTGTATGTTGAAGAGTAGTCTTGGTCTCCCAATTCTGAAGATAAGATCTTCACCAAAATGCAGTGGGACCAATCTTGCAATAAACCTTAACAAAAGAATTATAAGAACCAGAAAAAAAAAAATCCTCCCGCTTTGTTCACTGGTGGTAAAGTCAGTAATGTCTCCTTCTCCCATTAACACAAAAATTGTCTTGTACTAATCGAATGGGAATCGAGAAGATACTTCAAATTTTAATATTTCGCAGTATACAAATTCGATTCTCAGTCAATAATTTTCTTGGGTACAGATTAAATGGGAAGGATAGGAGAGTGTCTGAATGAATAGTCTGATTGTACGTATCGTATTGTATCGTTGGTGAGCACCTAGTGACTAGTTGTGTTGTTGTGACGCGTACAGTGCAGGGCGCATGGCAGGCCGGCTCGCTGCACGTGAAGGAGGAGCTCAGTGACCAGGAAAGCAAGTGTCCATTATTTTATATAATTGCATGTCGCTTTTACGTCATTTATTATATTTATAATGATGCATGAGATTCTTTCACTATATTTCTTGACTAACTTTCTAAATTAGATATAGTGCTTTTTATACCCTTTATGCTAATCATATATGCTTCGCAGGTGTTTTAGTTTGTAGCTCGTTAGTCTTTAATTTTATGATTTATCTATAAGGTCAAACCTTAACTATTGATAATTTTTAGAATAATCTGCTTTAATTTTTGACTCTTAATTATTATTTGGTAAATTTTGTATTCACAATGCTATACTGGAAAATATTCTTATGCTTAAATATCCATTTCCAGAGTGCCGGCAACAAAGTGGATTTTTTAAGCATTTTTCATTAAGAATATGAAAGTATTATTCATAAAATAACAATTTATATTTAAGACTTTGCCTTATAGCGATATAGATACATAAATAATAATAGGGTATTCTACTCTGCTTGTAAAAGTACTAGTAAGTGTTTACTTTAAATTAAATTATTCACAAAAACTTTTCGGAGTAGTCACGTTTTCTTGCCTTAAAATAAACGAACATTTGTTTTTACCTACAAAACGGCTGTCTTTTTTCGATATGGTCACGAAACAGACGCATAGAGTATAAATAATATTAGTTAATAAATAATAATAAATTAGATGTATCTTGTTACAAACAAAGTAAAAATAAAAAAAGGTAAGAATAAACATCGCCATCTAAGTATTTGATAAAAATGATAAAATAAATAGCGAACTGTTTACGAATGATGTGGACAGATGCGGAAATGACATTAGATTCAAATTGGATTGTAAATAATTGATTTTTCTTAAAACTATAATTCATTTTAATAATAGTATTAGGTCCTTACATATGAAATTGGTGTTTGGTATCGGAGTTGAATTTTTTCCTTTGCAAGAAGTTATCCAAATTTCGAAAAAAAATGGTAATCTGTTGGAGCAAGGTCCGGGGAATACGGTGGATGTCTTATACATACCAATTGAAGCTCTTCTAATTTGGTAGCCGTCTGTTGTGCAGTGTGTGGTCTAGCGTTGTCGTGAAGTAGCAGTGGCGTAGAGCGATTGACCAGCCTCGGTTCTTTAACAGCTAGTTTTTCCAGCATGGTTTGCAATTGCTGTCAATAGACGTCTGCCGTAATCGTCTGGTCAGAGTTGAGAAAACTGTAATGAACGACACCGGCACTAGCCCACCAAACGCTTAGAAATAATTTATTTGGGGTCAATTTTCGCTTGGGGCAGGATTTAGCTGGCATGCCAGGGTCCAACCATTGCAATGAATGCTTCCGATTATCGTAGAGAATCCACTTTTCATCACAGGTAATGATTCGATTTAAAAACCCTTCATCATTGTGCCGGTTAAGTAATGTAACGCAGCAGTAGAAGCGCGTTTGCCGGTTTGCTTCACTCAGTTCGTGAGGTACCCCCCTTTCAAGCTTTTTAATCTTTCCAGTTTGCTTCAAGTGGATTAAAACAGTTTTATCACTAACACCGCAGCCTGCAGCTAACTCGGACGTGGTTTGCGATGGATCCACTTCCACAAATGCCTTCAACTCTTTAATTTGGGTCTCTGGCCGTCCACTGGGCTTGTTCTGCAGATTGAAATTTCCAGAACGAAAACGTTGGAACCAAAAACGCACTGTGTTTTCTTTTGCTACACAACCGCCCTACACATCATTAGCCTTTCGAGCCGTTTCCGCAGCACTGGTACCACGGTGGAACTCGTACTCGTAAATAACACGATATTTCAAGTTTACCATTTTTTATAAGTATTGGGTGACGTAAATAGGACAAACAGAAGAAAAACGAATGCCGCCTAACGAAACACAAATACATGGCTGTGTAAATTTGAATTTGGAATTCCCAACCAAGGAGGAGAAACTTGTGATTAAAGTGGCCAGTACGACAAAACGCCAATTTCATATGTAAGGACCTAATATTTTTTAAACTGAATTGGTTAAATAAACACCTAAAACGTTATTTTAATTATAATTTGCTGTTGATCTTAACTTTTTGTAACAGTGACAGCCGTATTGAATATTTCTAATTTACCGCAATTTTTAATAATTTATGATGTTGTTTGATGTTAAAATCCTTGTTATTATTTTTGATCAATATTGCAATCCAAATACTATACTGGAAAATATTCTTAAAGAGAAATGCTTGTTCTTTATGAGAAATATATATATTTTTAAGCATTTTAAGGAATTTTAACACCTATCATAATTTAAATTTATTTCCTAACATTATTGGGTTGCTTGTGTGTATAATGTGTGTATGATATGTTCTTGAAACCCGACAAACAAATATCACGTAAACTACTCACTTTGTGCAGCTGCGTCTTCTTAAGTTCTTCAGTATTTGAAAAGGATTCATTTCTGCACACAGTAAACACAACAAACATCGCCGTTACCTTTGATGGTCTGTTATAACGGAACACAATAAATCACACCCTCTTCAGTTGCATCTCAATCTGATTATCTCCTACCTGACAGATGATACCATATTAAGTTTTTCTATTTGATTATTAAAATTTTCAACGACAGGCAAAAGTAGTCTTTACGCATATGCTAGTTGGTATGATTTTACTAGGTGTTTTTAATAGTTGGGGTGTTTTTGGGAAATAATAATGGGGGATAATTGTCGATGCCCTCGTTGTATTATCTACCTGAGCGATCACGTTGAATGCGCGTCTCGTATGATCCGTATTGTGCCCGCACGCACCTGCTGGCTGGTTACCTTTGATATGACGCGTGCCGGTCGCGCGCCGCTTTCACAAGCCGGTTTATATGTCTGCGATTGTAAGGCGGATCCTTTTTTAGCAAATATTTGTTGGTGTTTTATGTACATACTTTATACCCAGCCCTTCATTATATTGATGTTTGTGATTGAAATTGTATTAAACATACTGAATATACTGATGGATCATTAATAGAAAGTGACATGTACAATATTTTTATATGTTATTATTAATAGATTAAACTAAAACCGTGAATACATCTGAAATAATGCAGAGAAGGGTAAAAATTGATTCTGGCATATAAAAATATCACTATTATATTGTTTTTTCTTTCTTGTATTAATTACTAATTAGCCATTTCTGTGATACGTTTTCTAGATAACTTGTAGAAATCAATAAAGTTAGGTCAGATTACTTATTTAACTACAAATTAAATAGTCACGTGTTGTTTTGTAATTTCGATATAGCTTATAAATTATAAAGGATTACATAGATTTATTTATAACGTCATTAGGTATATTGATCCAAAAATAAAAAATGATAACACCCTGTGACATAAAACCTTAGTACATGGCCAATAAATGCTATACAAAGGGGAAAGTTTGCAATTATATCGCTTACATCTCTCTTACAATGGTCAAAATAACAGGTGGGGTGAGGTGGTAGCGAGAGCGAGAGACGCTCAGTTAGATAAGGACAGGTGTCTGTAAGATCGGGGCGTGTTTTCGGGAAATGTGGTCCGGAGGCAAGTTGCCTGGGAGATCTCCAGCGATATGGAGGTGCCTCGCTACCGCTCGTATTACCCCTGTGAGTGCCACCCTTTGGCTGAGGTTTATCATAATTATAGGAGCCACTCAGTATAAGTTGGACTCGCGTGAGATTTGTTCCTGAACGGGCAGCCGAGCACACGTACGCTAGGAGAAAGACCATTCTATGTTTCTAAATCATTTATCATTGCTAACATTTCAAGGAGTTGATACTCACATCGGATTAAATATATATATGTAAATTTTGCAGTCTTATTTAAAAAAAATTAAACATTATCTACAGGCGAAGGCGGTAACGGAGTCAATTATCATGTGCAGTATGTGGAGCCCCAGGAAATTTACACTCAAGGTCACCAGCCACAGATGTAAGTACACTTGAAAATAATTAACATTAAAAAACGCCCGCTATCATATTAAAATGTTTATTAACGAGAGATATGTTACATGCAAAATTTTTGAAAAATGTAATATCACAAATTTATAGTTCCATAAAATATGTTAATTTTGCTTCTATTTTGACAATTTGTAGAATTCATATACATAATAGTAAAAAATATAACCCAGTTTAGTTATTATATATATTAATTTATTTTTTAAAAGGTAAGCCTACCTTGGTTCCACAAAAGAAAATATATGTGGAGAAAATATTGATTTGTGGTTTTCACACTTGTTGCGGTTGCCTTTTTGATTTTCATGATTTGCGTCTTCACTAACTTAATTTGTCCCGTTAACTAAAAGTCCAAAGAAATTAAAAGATTGCACCATCAGCCTCTGCATTAAATCGTGGTTGTTGATAACAGTGTATCCAACCAGAATCAAAGGTTCAATGTGCCCTCCGAATCACGGAGCTCTATCAGCTCATCATAAGGATTTAATCCGTTGTTGTAATATGTCAGGGAGACTCTCCGCACGTACCCTGTATACGGCGTCACTACCGTGGCTCCGGCCACCACGGAGGCGGCCGCTGACAACACGTGGGCGGGCGGCGCCACAGCTGAGTATACTGCCTACGGCGTCGTGGTGAGTATATCCACGTCCGCTTCTTTTTTTTTAGCGTAGGGCAAATGCAACCTTTAGCCTTTACCGCGGCTCTCCGATCCCGCATCCGTCTTGAAAATGACAAGCTGAAGCGAGGCCGACCTGGTAATACCCGTTGCTTTGCGTCCACTCCTAGCCGAAGGCAAGTGGCAGTCATAAGATGTCCTCCCTGCTATTGTCTTTCATCGGCTGTGAAGATGGGCAATATGGATGATGCCTGGTTACAAAAAATAAATTCCATCGAGTCTATCAATCAGATAATAGAATATTGCATACGTATTTTTTTTGCATCAATTGAACAAGATTAGGCTTATATAATAGGCGTAGGAGAAAGAATGTTCAAACAAACAGACAAAGTTAGAAACTTTATCTACCTTTTTATAAGATTAGTAACTGGGGGCACCAAAGTGCCACCGCCGAGTCAAGCAAAAAAACAAAGTAATTCAGGAAGTCATTCAGGACAGGACAGTTACTAAGAGGAAAAAGCATAACCAGATATATTTTCAAATTACATTAAATTTGAACGAGTAGTTTAAGAATTACGTTAAAATTTCTTAATTTTGTCTATCATTGATCATCAAAATTCTGATGTACTTCAAGCAAACACATTATCTCCAAATTTTAAATTTAGTATATAGAGCAAGGAAACACTCTTAACATTGTGAAATATTAATCCCATTTTTTAGATATTGCTGATATATAGCATTTTGAAAACATCCATCAATATTATTCTTAATAAATAACGCTTAAAAAAATTTCAGTATATCATTGTGAATAGAATTCTAGTTGCTATTTTAGATAGAACTGATTCCTACCATTAGTAACTCATTTCAAGTATTTTATGAATTTAGTAATTCATAATTATCATATCATATAATTATCGGCAGTTTAGTACATTTTTTCGCAAACATAATTTAACGCCCCTCGATTAAGTATTAACAGGGGGTCCATTTTCTGGAAAATCAGGGAAAGTCATGGAAAAGTCAAGGAAAAGTTATAAGATATTTGTAAAATTTTAATTTTTACAATGGTTTTAAATCTCGCAAATTGATCATGAATATTTGTTTAATGTGTTCTTGGAAATACATTCAATTCAAACTGTGTTTAAGACTTGACTGTAAAACAGCTATATTGAAAATGAAAGCTACTTTGTTTGGTAAAAATAGGAAAAATAAGGGCTACATCCATAACAAAAATCAAACTCCCGTTTTAAAAGTACAGTAGTGTCTTCTAGTGATCAGTAGCGTCAGCTAAATATAACATATTCGTGCAGTTAATCAACATAACACGCATTAAATATTAGCGGCAACGATTGGACCGATTTGAATTATCCAACACTTTATTCAATTCTGCGTGATGATTTAACTTGGAATGGAATATAATTACAATAACAAATTTTTACGCCGCTTACGCAGCACACACAAAGAAAGCTTTTAAAAAGTAAAAAATTCGCGCGTTTTTCATTGCTTCTCCACACCTATTAGGCATAGGGATATGTTATATAGCCTATAGTCTTTCTCGATAAATGGTCTATTCAACACAAAAAAAAAAAAACATTCCCTATCAGTAGTAGTTCCTGAAATTAGAGCGTTCAAACAAACAAACTCTTCAGCTATATTATTAGTATAGATAAGTAATTTCTTCTAAACTTTTATATTTCAAAATAACCGTGTTGCCTATTATTATTGCCTGTTATTATTATAAGATCATAGTTTTTTCCTATTGTTGTTGTGAATGTCGTTACTTCTGTTTGTTGAGCTGAAACAGCTGATGAGTTTCTTGGGCCTGTTCTTATTAGCTGTCCTGGACGGGTAGTAGTTTAAAAAATGTTGGACAATTCGAAAGTACTTTCAATAAGTTTGTATGAATAAAGATTTTTGATTTTGACTTTGTTGATTCTCGTCTGCGCAATTTAAAAAATGTTTCGGCACTGTATTTACGTACAGCTACATAATCAGCGAGTAGAGGTCGGCTAGTAAGGAATGTGTACTGTGTCAGGTGGCGGGGGACGAGGCGGAGGCGCCTGCGTCGCCGGCCACGCCCGCCGCTGGTCCTCAGGTGCGCATGCCGCCCGCCACCGTGCAGTGGCTGCTCGACCACTACGAGACCGCTGAAGGTACATACACACTGGTCCTTTACTCGCTCATACAAAACTGTGCACACCTTCCAGATTATTTCAGAAGAAATGTAATATGATTTTCGACAGATGAAATTTCTGTGTCGGTGCTCATACCGTGAGCTTTAGTTAAGTAAGCTTAAATCGCATATCTATTTCAGTTTCTTTTTATTCTTTAGTCTTTAGAAAAGTAAGCTTTAGTCGCTTATCTATTTCAGTTTCTTTTTATTCATATGTTGTGTAGCGACTTGTATAAAAGTAAGAAAAACCTTTTCGACTACGTTTATATACCTATAATAATAATAATAATAAACCTACCTAATAATTAACGTCAGAGTAGGAAAAAGTAGGACCTACCTTTTCCTACTCTGGCGTTGTAGTAAAAAACTACGGACGTCAGCGTCGCGGTGCAATATCCCAATGGAACATTGGGTTTATCGTAGGGTGATGTAACATAATCAACTTAAAAATTGATTTTTTCATAGTCTGCGATCTGGGTTGGTGTAAATTTCTATAACACAAATGCTTAGGATACTTGGGTCGAAGATGTGACGTTGTGTAATGCTGGTTTATAGTAAACGTGTAATAACATATAGGCGTGTCTCTGCCACGTTCGACGCTGTACTCGCACTACTTGCGCCACTGCTCGGCGCACCGGCTGGACCCGGTGAACGCGGCGTCGTTCGGTAAACTCATACGGTCCGTGTTCGTGGGCCTGCGCACGCGCCGCCTCGGCACCCGCGGCAACTCCAAGTACCACTACTACGGCATTAGGGCCAAAGCTAACACCGGCGACTCGCCGCCCGCCCTCGATGTCAGCGATGAGAAGACCGAACTGGTAGAACCACAGGTGAGTGCACGCAACATACGGGTTTCTTGATGCGTAAAAACGTGTGATCGTAGAGGTCAGGTGGAACTAATAAAATTCCCATATATTAGGTTCTCTGGTGTACCTAAATGTACTCGTTTAAATGTAATTGCTGATTGTATCGATATTTACTGCAAAATTGTCTGACAATTGTGTTCGTGCGAGCGAGCGTGCGACCGAGCCGGAGCTCTATAAGCACGATCGGTAAAATATTTGCATGCACCTTACATTCAGTGATCGGATTAGATTCGGCGTTATAAGGATAGTGATTATATAGCAAGTTGATTTATTAAGTTTTTAAATCACATTTTGCTATCGCCGAAACAGTTGAGGAATCTTGGAACATTTCAAGATTGACAACAAAAATTCAAGACGAAAATACGGATATCATTATTGAAAAGTGTTTTATTTTTTGTGAATCTGTTCTTTCAACGAAAACAGTATTTTTTTTTGTATAGCGTAAAAACTTACTTTTTGAAGTACACACAGTATAAGACTGCAGTACAGTAGAAGTGTTACGTGATGTGCAGGAGGGTAGGTCGGGGTCTCGCGAGCGCGAGCGCGAGGCGGCCATGTCCCCGGCGGGGCTGGCGGGCATCGCGCACCGCCAGTACCTGGGCGCCGCCGCCCCGCCCGACCCGCCCGCGCTCACGCTGCACCACTCCACCCTCGCGCACGACGTGCCCGCCGCTGTCATCGAGGCGCTAAGGGAACATCACAGGTGACACACGTCAATATCTGTACTATACAAAACAATCTACTCGGCCAGCAAATTTGTGCGCTTTTCAGTTATTTATAGATCCTAGTGGTCGCCCCGTGGTCGAAATTTGACCATAACAAATTTCAATTAGAAGTTATTTAACATAATTTATATAATGAAAATTCTTTCATGAAATTACTGAAATCAAGAAGAGAAAAAGAATGTTTGTGTGTTTCAAATGCATAGTAGTTTGTGTAATGTTATTATTTATCGATTTAATGTACTTTATAAGCGTTATTATTGAAAAATATATGCTTTTTAACGCGTTTTTTTATAAGCGTTTGCACTTCTCCTACATATAAACTATAAGTGTGACAAATTTCATACTCCTCCGTCCTTGCAATTTTCGTAAAAAGGGGTCCAAAGTGTTTGCTTCACGCATTAATATATAGATATGTAATTGGTTGATACGGTAAGATGTGATGATTGTGATGTGGTGTGGTGTGTCGCGTGCGCAGGTCGCACGGCGCGGAGTTCCTGGAGGCGGTGTCGGCGCTAGACACTGGCGCGGTGGAGCGGTGCCGGCGCGGGTTCTGGCGGCGCGCTAGTGCCGGCGCGCGACGTGTGCTCGCCACCAGGGACGGCGCCGCCTGGCTGCGCGCCGCCGACCTGCGCCTGCACCAGCAGTGCGTCGACCTGCTGCTGCCCGACGTGCTGCGCCCCATCCCGCCGCAGCTCACGCAGGTGCACACACGCACATACGCACACACGCGCACACGCACGCACGCACGCACAGTGTCAGGAGACAGTGACACTGTGTGTGTGTGTGTGCGTAATTGACCTACCCATAAATACATTTAAAAATTCATGTAAAGAACATACTTACGAGTGAAGGCTAATATAAAGTTGATGATTATTTTAAGGACAGCAATGCATGGAAATAATAACCTTCGCTTTGTTCTATAACGACTAGACCTACAGACTTTGAAATTTGTATTTAATATTTTGGTAACGACATGATTTATGTATATTAGCACATAAATAATATATTAACTAAAATAAGTACCGATTTATGTCCTAAAGTCATACTAACATTTTTAATCAGCACTGGTCAAGTTTCGAATCTGTTTAAAGGCATTTATTTTATCTTATAATGCTTAATGCCATATTGTGGTTAATAAAAAAAGTATACCAATGTCAAAACTCCTATTTAAGTATTGGGTAATATTAATATAAAGCTGTTATCGTATTTCGGTGATATGAAAAACATTATATATTATATAAGCATTAACGTAATATTATTTAGTGCACTTAGTTGTATTTAGTCATTTTCTAGAAACAAAGGTATTCTAATGGCTTATGGTTGTATCGATTTAATACTTATCCTATATACACATTGAATAAAGAACTAGTAAAAATTTAGCACCGATTTGTTCTTAAAGTATTCTTTAATCAAGCCCAAGCTCCTTTATCTTCTTAATCTATGCTTTTATCAAACATTAGGCTATATTTTGGTCAATATTAAGTTATTTATAGAGATACAAGTAATAAATAGATCGTTATTATTTTTTATGTGAAATTAAAATGTAAAATTATTTTATGTCTTGTATTGTAATGGTGGCATTTTATACGCATCGCTGGCGCCATGGACAAAAAACGTTGGAAAAAACAAAGAAAACAGGTGGATATAAAAGAAAACTGAAAAAAGAGTATTCTAATTTAATTGAAGCTTTTCAAAATCAAAATAAAAATGAAATAATCGTTTGATGATTATAAGCACTATAAAATACTTCTGAAGTGTTAAAATACGGCTGTACCTAAAATGGGAGTGTGTTATACGGTGAATTACGAGCTCTTAGTTTTGTGTCTAACCATAATACGATTAACAGCTCTACTACACCATATTTGAATACCTAATGCTTTAATTTTACGAGTCGCCATTTGCTTTCTTTTTCCAATTCTTACAAAATATTTAAAGTCAACTGTGTCAGATGAAAAGGGGTAAATAATCATTTATTTTGTGCACAGATGCCTATAAAAGCAATTATGTTGTTAAAACAATGCTAAAAAGCCTAAAATTCAACAAAAATTTTTGCTACTAGGTTAAATTTTTTATTATTTTTATTATATTAAAGGAAGTTTGCGAAGGCGCGTGTATTTTACACCATAAACTTGTATATTTTACTCCACAAACTGATGTTTGCAGCTTATTTCACACATAACGAGCTGTTTAAATCAATATTCAAAAATACTTAAAAGACCAGCCAAGAGAACATGTCATGACACTTACACAAAACAATAATTTAAACCGATATGTTTTTAAAATCTATTAAATATACTTTTTTTACAAAGGAAATAAAACAGTAAGCATTTTTATAACATTAAATTAACGTATTATAATTTTGATTTACGCATATCAATTGTAATATAGTCACAAAAAGTTCAATTAGCACTTTAAGGTGCTAATTGAACTTTTTGTGGCTATTAGAATGCTTTTACCCGACTTTATTAATGCTATTATACAAAAGTTGTAGTGCTATTGCACAGCTTTTATAAAGCTTAAAGTCGTACAAAGGGGGGGCCCAAATTTTACGTATAAGAGTCGTTTAAAAGAAATACGGTTGATATACGATTTTATTATAATGCTTAACGCTTGGACTCGTGCTATTATAAGTTTGATATAATGGTGTTTTGTGCTTTCTTTGTTAGAATAAATGATAAAGCTGTATTTTTTTTATCGAATTTTACAAAATGAAATTGTATCGAACGATCAGGCAATCCGGAACTTCGCCAAGAGCCTCGAGTCGGCGTTGGCGGCGGGCGCGACGGACGCCCCGGCGGCGGCGGCGCGCGCGCAGGCGGCGGCCGCGGCGGCGCTGGCGGCGGCGCTGCGGCGGTACACGTCGCTCAACCACCTGGCGCAGGCCGCGCGCGCCGTGCTCGCCAACCACCACCAGATACAGCAGGTGACGATCACTGATGTATCTATATAAAATGGAGCTTATTTTTAACTATAATTTCATATCAAGCCAATCAATCTTAAAAAAAGTCAGGATAAAAATTGCAAGGTCGATAATTATTTTTAATTAATACTATGATGACTAGCCGTTGACGGTTTCATACACTACCCCAATGCGATTCGGACCCAATGACACTTGGCCAAGTTTCGTTTCATCTACTACCGCAAAACAAAATGTTCTTTCGTCATAAGGTAAAAAAAGGTCACATTTACAATTACATTTAGATTTATTTCTACATATTTACGAGTCAAACTACAAAAAAAAATTAATGCAATAATTTATAAAGTGGCTTCACAATTATCTCGAATTTGACACCTCAAAACATATTTTACCAATTAGGAATCTCCCTGGCCTTGAAATCAAAAATTGGTAAGATATTATTATATTGTAAACAAAAACTAATTTAAATGATTACGACCTTTAATAAAGCGTGCCAGGTCAATTAATGTACGAAAAGTAGACACGATTCTTTGGAGTTTTGTCTGTTTAACGCGCTGTCGGCTGTGTAATTGTAACAATAAGGCTACGTTCAGATGACAAGCGCTCAACGCGCGTTCACATGGTACGCGCTTGTCGGGCGTTATACGCGCGTTGTCGCGGCCGCCCTGTAACTGTTTGAGTTAAAATGTATTGTCGAAGATGGACGTAGAAACAGTTTTAACGGTAATTTTATACCGACGACAGAAGCAATCCGACAGAAGACGGAAATATTTGGTTCACCCAATTTTGTCACACAGGTTGACTGAAAGCTATTACATTATTTATCCTAAATTAAGGCAATTTGGGCCCAAATTCTTTAACTATTTTAGAATGTCCATCAAGTCATTTGATGAGCTTGATGAACCCTAGAATTCGTCTATCCACGTCAAAAGCGCGCGCTCAACTGAACGGAAACATAGAAAATCAATGATCTCAAAGTCTGCGCAAGTCTCAAAGGGGCGCAAACAGTCGAGCGCTAGCGCAGCGTTCAATGCGTGCTTTATTAAAACGCGCGTTAGCATCTGTACGGCCGGAACAAAATGTGTGTAGTTGAAGCGCGCGTTAAAAACCTGTCATCTGAACTTGGCCTAATAAGTTTCAACTTTTCAATTTGTCGCGTCAGATGCTGTCAGACTTGAACCGCGTGGACTTCCGAGTGGTCCGCGAGCAGGCGGCGTGGGCGTGCTCGTGCGGGAGCGCCGCCACCGCGCATCGGCTCGAAGCTGACTTCAAGGTACAATATACTTACAGTAAGATCTACCATCAACAATAAAATATAACCCGTCAGAGTCTCGAAAATGGCCGAAGCAATAACGCCTCACTTCAAAATGAGGTTTTGACGCCGCCAACGTTCGGACGTATCACGATGCCACAGTGCGCATTAAAACTGCAAAAATAACTATCGGAATAAAAACATATCTGTTGGAATATCATATTAATTAAACGTTATCTTATAATAAAGTTTTATTATTGTGGATGTGTCCAATAAGTATTGTTTGAAGGTATCTGGTGTTGTATTTTCAACGTAATGATTATGGACCCGTGTGATATGGCGCCTATGTGCAGGCGACGCTGGGGCGCGGCGCGTCGCTGGAGCAGTGGGCGGCGTGGCTGGAGACGTGCGTGCGGGACGCGCTGGCCGCGCACGAGCGCCGCGCCGACTACACGGCGCGCGCGCGCCGCCTGCTGCTCGACTGGTCCTTCTACTCCTCGCTCGTCATACGCGAGCTCACGCTCAGGTCAGTACCGGGGCGTTAGTTGAATAGTACACTACATACCGTTTGATAGAAGAACAGAAAGGATAAATATGATTTTTGAAACGGCATTAATCCTAGTGATATTGAAATAAACATTTTATTATTCTATCTACGTATGTTTCATTTGATTTTTTTTTGTTGAAAAAAAAAAATCGAAAAAAATATATGTCATACCAATATAATATATTGACATGACCTACATCGCATTGACACAGTCATACCATGTTACGGAAATCCCATTAACCCTATCGACCCTATCTGTCACGTACTCACACAGTATGACAAACAAATTGGAGAGTGGGCTCTCTTTTCCCTAATATAAACTTTTAATCTTTGCATTACCCATATCAATTTGCAAATTTTGAACATTCATGAGTGCTTAAAGTTGTCATAATTTTCTTCGCAGTTTTGTGCAACTGACCGTTAGAAGCTAATAAAGATAAAGAAGCCGATTCTGAACTCCATTGGCATTAATTTCATCTCGAACCCCAGCTCGTAACTATGTCTTGAAAATACACTGATGTTGAATCATAAGTGACTCGTTTCTAACACAGGTCTGCGGCATCGTTCGGGTCGTTCCACCTGATTCGTCTGCTGTACGACGAGTACGTGTCGTACCTGATTGAGCGTCGCGTCGCTGCGCACAACCGCGCGCCGCCCATCTCCGTCATGCAACGGCCCAAGGTATGCACTTATTCGCGATAGATCATTCGTCATTCAGTAACTATCCATTTTCACTAACGCTTTAAAGTGAAGCAGTATTCATTCTTAAGTAAATCACTTAAGGTTGATGTTTGGGCGACTCGCTTTAACAATATCCGCGATCACCAAGAAGCGGCGATCACAGTTCGCAGCGATACGTAGACATCTTTATGAGATCAACGCTTACCATTGACTTAAATCGACCGTCTAGAATGTAACGCGTATTGTAAAATATATCTTGAATTAAAAATAGCGTTTAAAAAATATTGTTCGCAAACAATGCAACCTGTCATGTGGGAATGCAACAACAATAGGATATCAGTAAACGTGTGAATTAAATAGGTAAATAGGTTTGTATGTTCCGCGCAGTTCGGCTTTCAGAGTGATCAAGTAACCAACTCAAAATTGAGCTTTATCGCGTTCGCATAAGAATAAAATTTACTTTGACTTTATAGTTATCAAAAATAGACAGTTTTGTATTGTGATTGTGCGATTTTAAATCTATTCATGTGTACATGAAATAATGTACCAGGAGTGCGCGAACCCGTGCAGTGCGTCAAAGTTGTTATCACAGCCAAGGTATGAAGAACCACGGTTGTAAGCAATAGAGTTGATTAATATGGACATGCCTTCGAAATCGATTGCTTTTATTATGATTTTTTACTTAGGAAATGTATAAAAATGATGTAAGAGTTTTAGAATTATGTTCTGATTTCAAAGCATAAAATGGATGCAATCGGAATTGCTGAAAACTATTTTGATTTTGGTGAAAACAATTAGGGAAATCTTTCCAAAAAAATGTCTTATCCACGCCATTCTTTCTATAAGCCAAAATTCAATTTACCTATTCTGATAACTGATTATAAGTTTGGCCGATTAAAAAAATTGAGAAGCTAAAAACTTTGTCTAATCGTAATTGTGCTCTAATAGTACAGGAATATTCTGGACGTAAGCGATAGGTGGGATAGTCGTGTAAGTCGAATTCGCGTAATCGGGACCAGAGTCTAAAGAAAAAATATTTTGCAGTAGAAACGCGCTCTTCATTGGAATCAAAATCTTGTTACCCCTGTTTAATTGTATTAAAGCCTTTTGTTTGGTTTGAAATTTCCATTTGTGTGTGTTTTATTTGTTTTATGTATTTTTATCTTGTTTGTGTGAATCCAGTAATTCTTGAACGTCATCAACGACCACCTTTTAATTTAATTGTTTGGCAATATCCATTCTAAGTATTTATTGATAAAGATAAATCAATAATGTACATTGTGTATGTACTATAACTCGACGAGTAATACGGCCGAAATTGTCGTAACTCGTAAACCGAATGTACGTTGCGTACATATAACAATTCCACACGGAACACGTTCGAATTTAAGCCGAATACGCCGATGCGCTCCGTGAAAACCGCGTATCTCCGAATTTGCGTAAAATGGGGTAGCATAAGTCGACATCTATGCTACTTATCAATGCGTGTTGCATTCGATGTCCGCCGCAATGGCATATCTCAACGGCCGCGAGTTATACGAGTGGGATAGTCTTTATTGATTCGAAATGAACGACATTTCGAGCTGATTTAATTATTTTTATGGTGATGGGTAGTTCCATGTTGTTACATTTCTGCTTCTCGATTGAAACTAATGAAGCTTGCATTCTATATTTATAATTATATCAATACTCTCTTAATGAAACTTTCGTTAATATAAAGCATAAAATGTAGGTCTCGTTTAATTTTAAATTTTGTAGCTTAAGTTATTTTCAAATTTTTAATAAAAATTGTTGGTAACTCACGTTCCCTTTGGCGGCATTAGCTAAGAATTCTAATAAATATAATCAATAAAATTGAAACTAAAACTCATTCTTATTAAATGTCTTACATATCATATCATCAGCTTAATTAATTGTTTTAGTAGATAAATTTATAAAATTATATAATAGTTATAATCACGTTACACATATTTTACGTGTTTAAAATATTTGTCTTTAAATCTTACATGTTTTGTAACTGTTGACAACGTTGCCAATCAAACTGTTATTTATACAGAAAATGGTCGTTTTTTTTTCTTTCAAAATGTAGTGTTGCCAGTAAATACATTTACCACACTACCGTTTTGATTGTAACTCGTTACGATTGCGTTAATTTTATTTTGAGCCATGTCGCATTTCAATGGAAGCACCCTGACGATGATACAGGAGGATGAGGAGGAGTTGACCGAGGAGGGCGGCGCGGGCCGCGAGGAGGTGGACGACGAGGAGCACGAGTGGGAGTGGGGCGACGACTCCGACGACGACGACGACTCCGGCGACATCAAGAAACCCAAGCTCAGCGACTGAACACAGGTCAGTGCACGCCAGGTTTCGTAGTGATAATGACCATTCATAATTATTTTGATAAAGGTACATACTTTGATTTTTGTACTTTAGGGCTTGTTATTAAAAGTTATCTTTAAACAACTATCAAATATGGTTTTTCTGATAGAGATAAAGAAAAGTATTAAAAACCCCCCCTTTTTTTAAATTTTTTAATGTTTTCATTTAACTGTTTGTTCAATGTGATTTCACAAGTATTTTTTTTTTGGTTAGTTGTTATAATTTAAAACAACAAAAATAAAAGTTTATTTGATTATTAATGCCTTTATGTATTTAATAAATTGTTGCCTGTAACTACGGATAATTATCAGATATTTATAATTAACTTGATGATGACCTATTTTTGCATACTAATAACAATAGATGCATCTGGAATAGTCCCATCACTAGAAAAAGGTCTCCCCCAAATATTTCATCGACGGTCGGTTGCCCGCGCTCGTCGTCCTACGCTTCTCGATCCAGACCAGCAAGTTTACTCTTGAACTGAATCGCGATCCATCGACATTTCAATTGTGACGTTTCGTTTTATGACTTTTGCTTTGGTACCCTAGCGCAAATTAGCTATATTGCGTGGCTATTGAATGAACTAATACTTACTTACTCGAAGTTAGTAAGTATTGAGTTTTTGTTTCGATTACAAGCTGATTTGATGAAAATTAAGATCGTGAGATGGTCATTGGATTGGATTGAAATTGACATTGAAACTGCGTTCAAGAGTAAGCCTGCAGATCGTCGGTCAATCTAGTGGGAGACTTGCTATGTATGGTCGCCACTCTAGGATTTCACTGCCCCAACCGCCATGTATTCTACGAGCTACGTGTCCTAAGCATTGCCACTTCAGGCTAGCAATTTTTCGGGTTACATCGGTCGCTTTGGTTCGTCTGCAATCATACTTCCAAGCGTAGCTCTCTCCATCGTCCTCCGAGTTAAAGTCACTCGGAGGGCGATGGAGAGAGCTATGCTTATAGTTAGCGACTATCTTATCATTGGGAACACACATTGATTTAAAACTATTGTCTTGAGTCTTAAAACTTTGGAGTTCCACGCACGTTGTCCACGCAATTTGAATTCTTTCTCGAAGTAAGCCCTACTTAGTTGAAGTCTGTCATAGTTATATGTTATGGTCAACAACTTCAAGTATCGAGTTACTAAGTTTAAAGTCGACGTTAGATATAAGATTTGTCTTGTCCATGTTCATTTTGAGATCTAACTCTTGAGAAACCCCTGAGGTGTTGAGAATTGTACTAAGGTCTTCCAAGGTCTCAAACTGAATAGTCTCTTAAAGGATTTTAATCACAGCTCTTCCTCCGGCATTCAGAAATTCAGCTGTGATTCCGTTCTCACCCAGTGTGTTGTTGCTTTTAAATTTTTTTAGAGTCATACTACTCCCATACAGGTTTAAGTATAAGATATATATTCGATGTAGTGTCCGGTTTAATTTAGACATTGTATAATGTAGTGCTTGGACGCTTTCTGTTCTTTTTCACTTTTGTACAATATTTACGGATTATGACGTCATAGTTTAGTATATGTTTTTCCCGACTAATCGAGATTTTATACGCTCATATGTCAGTAAAAAAAACTAGACAGATGCGATCATTTGTTTTCTATGTTTAGTCGATCAGGAAATGAATTAGTTTTAACCCGCTAGTGCGTAACTTACGTAGTTTTAACATTTGTAGATAATGCAATAATATTTTTATGTCTCCAAGTATTACATTGCGTGCTTTGCTATCTCGCGATATGCAATATTAATGATTTGTATTCTATTAACATAATACAGGTCTTACAAGTCTGAAGAGAGATACAGCATTAACCCACTGGCGTCAACGAGTATAAACCATGGATAAAATTTTAATACTACGAATGAAACTGTTAATCTACCCAAAAAGTCTCCATAACACTTAAAAAAATACCCTTCGTATGCCGAGAAATGTGTATGTATATGTACAGTACAGAATATTGAATCAATGTAATTTATGTATCACTTTAAATGTGTAATTATATATGTGATTGGATTTTAAGCCTTAATATGTTAAATAGTTGAGTCCAAAATTGATAGCAAATATTTGGGCAGTAACATGATATATGATATTAACCTATTCATCCGATAAAATTAAGACTGTTTTAATTGTAAACTAAAACTTCTTACTGCATCTGTGTTGGTACAATTCTGATAACTTACGATTAGAAATTCTCCACTCAAATCATAGTTCCACATATCATGATATAACTATAGGCAGCTTTTACTAGATGACAAACTTAATATTAAGACGCACTCATCGTTCATAATGGAATTGATGTTTTTATGGGAATTTCAACATTATAAAAATGCGATATCTATGCTAATTAAAAACTTGTAAATGTTTATAAGTGTAGTGTTTTTAATGTAAATTATTATCACGAATTTATTGAAGACTTGGCCTAATAAATCCGCAACTGTGAATGATTTTATCTCGTGAGAGATGATTGATATGTTGTGTCGTTCTAGATAGTCGTAAATATGACCAATGTAATCAACGTAGAGTTATACGACCAGAGTATGTTGGTAATCGTCTGGCTACTAAGAATGCCTGTTACGGGAAATCTTTAATTTAGGATAGATAGTATTTGAGTTGTATATAATCACCTGTAGTTAATAAATAATAAGGAAATTGTAGTGACATAGTTTACATTGCACCACCTTGAGGAGGTCCATAACTCTTTCTGCAAGTAAGAAATATGCAGCTTACATTTGTCTGTATTTTGTACACATACTAGTGAGAATATTTCAAAACACTTTTTTGGCTAATTTCTTATGCTTAGATATTTTGTCCAACACAAATGATGTTGGTTGTAAAATTAGTCTGGCGATTCTCATTATTAATATATACCTATGTATATACAGGTTAGATGAGTACCAAAGAAAAATGGACGCCAGTTCTGATGTATTAAAATTTGCTCACTTTGTATAATAAATTAAGTAAAATGTAACTAATATTCAAATTTGCTAACTTACTTGTTTCATGGCATTTATTTGTATACTTCCTTTTGTTTAAGTGACGTCAAAAGTAGATTTTTTTATTACTTAGGTTAGTTGGGAACAGAATACATGAATGTCAGTTACCTAAAAATATTACTTATAACATTTATATGTTATAAATTTCGCTATAATTCATATAAATACGTATAGACGGTTATATATTTTTTTGTTATGAAATCAGTTTGGTGTTAGGTCAATTTTCTTTCGCTTGAAGTTAGCATATTATTGTCAAGATATGATTAATATTGATTCATGTAATCAATTAATTACTTTTCAAGATGTATTCTAAAGTCACACTATAATAAAAGTTTGGTAAGTTAAGTTACTGACATAGCAAAAAGGTTTCTTTTTGTGTTTTTAATATCCCCCAAGCACCCGCTCGTTAATATTACCAAATGCTAAACTTGACCAAAACTTGTTTATAACTGATTCATTATATTAATCACTCTCTAGGTAGTTGTTAATATTATCTATTAATGAATGTTACATTGTATTATGTATGTATATATTAATAGTCGAATGTCATTACTGTTAGTGTTACATTAAATAAGGCCTAAATCAGTGTTTTTCAACCTGTAATTGTATTGCGGGTGGCTTTCAATCCCCAGACTAAAGGCACGAAATGTCGACCTCACTCGTCATTACTTCATTTGTGTAAGAGTAATGACGTATATATCAGGTATTGGTAAGAAATGAATAATGTTATTTAAAAGAATGGAAGACAAAAACATAACTATATACCAAAGGATGTTGCAATTTTGATAATAAATATTACTTACTAATTCGTTGCTAAGATTATATTGTAATGCTAACGCATGGATGGAAATTAAAATAATTTTAATACATTTGCCGTAAAATTGTTGATATTTTAGCGTTTACTCAACAATAGGGATGATGACAAATTTTTGTTGGTTTGTCCGTCACGTAGAGTATTAAAAAATATTAAACACGTATTTTTTTTATTTTTTTCGTAATCATAAAATTACGACGTTACATTGAGTTGAAATTTCGCATGACGTCACGTTATGGTACGTTTTCTACTCAACTGTGACGTAGCGAGCCCCCACTCCTCAACTTAAATGCCTGTTATCTAAGCTATTTCTTGTTAATTTGAAGTTAAAAAAAATACGTATCTAATATTTTTCTATTTTCTGACTGACGGACTAAATAGAATTGCATTTTTTTTACCCAGTCATCATCCCTATTGGTAAAATAATATATATTTCGCTCTGCCTCATTATTAGTCTCTCTGTGTTAGGATTATAATATTTCATGCAGGTGTATTACGATGTAACATAAACGCACTTCCATAAATCATTTAAGGTAAGTGCCATAGACTGTAAGTATTATAGGTATATCATTAGTATATTGTGATGAAGTGGATATTGAATTTTCGTTACCCACTTTGACATAATTTACTTAGTTCCATCTTATTTTTTGAAGATTTATTTTTATTATTTCAATATTATTTGTATTAATGTACCAGCCGTATATCTATATTTTTGTATTTCTGGTATAAAATAGCAGATAAAAACTGCCTTTATCGTTGCCTTACAACAGTACATACCTCTTATTGCCACGTTATGTATTTGGTGAATACTTAATAGGTTGTGTTTCAGAGCAAATAAGTGCTAACAGAAGTTGTGATTAATTTGGATTTAAAACTAATGGATTTCTGGTCCATTTAGGTATGGAAAAGATAAATTGTCTATTTCGTCTAACATAATTTATCAATTTTGACAATATTAGTCGTGCTCGGTGTGGTTCACAGATGGGTAGAGCCTTAAATTTATTATTAAGGTTATAACTATAAAGTTGACTCATAAAATACACAGGATTACATCATACTCTATGATTGATAATAATATAAGATGTTGGCTTGTCAGTGCCTACAAATGATAGGGGAGTATAATTAAATAGTTTATTTTGTAAGTATTAGGTACATAGTTGTCACATTCATCAAATGCCTTTATTGATTAGGGATGTATTATTATCTTAAATTATTTTTGTCGGTTATATTGAAAATGTTTATTTATATTTTTGCATTATCTATATCGCGGAATTGCACTAGATTTATAAGAAATAAATGTTGTGTAATACTTGAATGTTACTCTGATGTTTGGTGTAACGTTTCATTGACAAGAATATGGTAAACTTCGTCCTTTCGTAGTTGGTATAATTTAGGTGAAAATCATAGAGTAACATTCACATTAAATGTTGGTGTCAGGCGACCATGTAACCGCTAGATATAAGTTGTATGTAAAGCGAAGAGTAAATTTTATCAATGAAACCATTCATGATAAGGTTATCTTAGAAATTACTTTTTAGTATAATAATAGATATCTACCTGAACCACTCGTATCGTATATAGTCGAAACAGTAATTGATTAATAAAATAAATATTTGAGATTATTTTTAGCATTTGCTTTTCATTAATTTATTAAATGGATATTTTAAAGTAACCTTGTCTTCTTATGCTATTTATTTTAAATCAGACTATGTAGAAAAGGTTTTTTTTTTACTTGTTCTTAGAACGTATCATAAAAGGTATTTCGCAAATACTAGCAGTTGTCACATCTTAGTTTAAATATATATTTGAGTCGCATAATGTTTCCGTAAGCATCAGTTATTTATAAAAAAAGCTATTTATCACAAAGTTGCACGTATTTCCATTAAATATGCATTAGTTTAATGTCACACTGCTCAAACATGGTAATCAGTACCTGTTATTGGTTGCGACTACAAGCAAAATTACCAGGCGTTTTCGTTGTTTATTAAATTACTAAAGTTTCTTTACTAAAGCTAAATATGTGTTGTATGCAGATTCTAAGAAATAAACTTTATTAGATTATTACCTAACAGGGTGACCACAACACGCAACTTATTTTTAATAGTGTCAAATATCTTATTGCAATGGAAATTACTCAACCGAAAAGAGTATCACTCTTAAACGGTATGCATGTATACAGGATTACGCGGGCGTAGCCGCCGACGGAAAGCTAGTTACATATTGTCTATGAAGAGTCAATAAACAATAACTGCAAAAATGCAACTTTTCAGGAGACGAAAAAACGTTTCAAATCTATTATAATGGTTTTTTCAGTACATTGCAATTATTGTTTATCTTACAAAAACATAAGAAACCCAAAATCTTTGTCACTATTGTGTAGTAATCTATTTTACAACGAATAATTCAATAAAACAAAAATAGATAAAATATCAGTTATTATTTATTGACTCTTCATGGGCGATATATAACTTATTTAATTATAATATCGTAGTAAAATCATAGAGGACATGGTTAGTATTTTTATTATTCTTATTATATTCGTTTACTCTTCGTCGAACTTGTTACTATGTAATTAAACTAAACATTTCAGTAGCTACTGTGGATCGGTATCTGACACACGAGCTTATAACTTTTATACCAAATTAGGTAGGTGTATAAGATTTGTTCCATTATCAGATGTTTAAATTGAGCAACGAATTAAATGGACTGCATTCCTGTCGGTTTACATAAATGTAACAGTTTGATAACACTGACGTGACCCAGATTCCATTCCAGCTTCTAGTCAACGACAGACAGGTGTGTAGTCCATTAATATGGGATCGACTGTGCTAGTATATAAGTAACGTATAACTGTTGTATAATGATTACCAACCAAGAGTCGCTATATAATGTATGCAGGGAATGTATGGAGGTGATTTAAATGTCTGAAAGTAAACCTAGTCATGTGTTTAAAAGGTTGTTTCATTTATTTCGGCTCTAAAATTCTCCCTGTTTATCAGAATCATTACCATTACCAGCCCTTTTTACGTCCCCACTGCAGGGGCTCAGGCCTTCCTTACGGATGGTTAAGGAGGATGGGCCATGACCCTCCACGCTGGCCCAATGCGGATTGGATTGGATTTAACGACTGCAAATGCAGCCGGGACCAACGGCTTAACGTGCCTTCCGAAGGACGGAGCAGCTCGAGATAATAATTTTTGGTCACCCATCCCGTGACCGACCCTTGCGATAGTTGCTTAACGACAACGATCGCGGGCCGCGGCGCTTATCCATTATGCCACCGAGCTACTCGTTTATCAGAATGAGGATGTATATAAAAAAAAAAGCACTAAAAAAGCACCCCCACTAGATGGCGACTCTAGCAAAAGTTGATTTTTAAAGTAAACGAATGGACCAAAGATAGTAATTTCCGTTCCTTTTAAATAACATATTAAAAAACTGTAATTTTCCAAGTTATACATGTTCAAAACCAATTTAATTTTATACATGAAAGAAAACCGGAAAGGTTGTCATGGAGAAATCAAGAAAGTACCGTAGAGACATCTAGTTTGATTTCGGAAACTATTTTTTTTACTCCACCAAGCCGTCGTTTGAGCCGCGCTTAGGTAAAAATGCCTAGTGTTCGTGTACCTAGTCAAAGTTACGTAGTTTCGTATTCTGTTTTCTCATGCTACCATGATATTGTTCCATAAAAGTGGGAGCACGAGGGAAAACTTCTCGTAGTCCTACGACTGTGGTTTTTTTCCTGCTGTGCATATTTCCTTTTTCTAGTATGTAATGTAGTCCGAAGATATTATAATTTATTATAGGGATTTACAAATATTAATTAGGTACGCTTGTTAACATTTTAGTTGATAGAGAAAAATAAATGTCTAAACCACAAGATTACGTGAAGCGGGATCATATAATAATAAACTAACAACTTATATTATTTCAGTAGGGCATTTTTTCTTATAGAAATAAAACAAACAAGTTGTCATCATAAATATTATTTCAACATTCCGTATCTAGCCTAAGATAATGTACAATATGAGGCGGCCGCAACGACGAATATCAATTAAAATAATATTTACAGATAAGTTTAAACTAATCAATATGAATTGCATGCAGTTATGGCTACGCTGCACAATGCAGCGCAGTCGCCACACGATGCAAGCCATATATATAATCGTATCAACCATTAAAATAAATGTCCCTTACTCCACAACTTGATTAATTTGCATTATAAGTATACATAAATATAACAATGTTATGACAAAACAAACGTCACAATTATGGTGCGAACATGGTCTACAGTAAAAATTAATAAGTAACAAGAAATCCCTAACAATATTCAATTTGTTATAATAAATCAATCATATTACATAACAAAAGTAAAATTGCATTACATAAATAATTCACTAAATATTGCATTGAATGGCAGTAACTGTTTTAAAACAACTTCCGTTAGGATTCGGAATAAGGAGACCAATTCACCAAGATATGGAGTAAGCAAAACCGTACTTAATACAAAACGGTACGAAAACATCAATCTAATCATATATATTTTAATACATTCACTTCGTAAAGGAATGATCCAATCAATCAGTGCCTAAACTCTCCTCCGGGTCTTGAGAGAAATGTAATTTAGAAATAATGCGGTGTATTATGAATGAAAATGTAAAATTAAAACTACAACTAAATATTAGACCTCTCACGAAGAACGATTCCAACACATTTTTTCCTGATCTTTGGTTCGACATCTAGCCTAAGCTAACAGCTAGCGTTAAACTAAATCGAGGGTAACACTAAAATACGGGCAATTTTTTTTGTGGTCGGAATCGACTTTAGGATTGATACACGTAGAGGAAACATCGTCTAATGGTATACGTAGAGAGATGTCGGCTCATAGAAACAGTATGATTTTTAATGTCTATATATATCGATGTCGAGGTCGGTCGTCTCGTAATCATATGGCGAGTGCGGCGGATCGTTTGTCGCGGCTCTTGTTGCGTGCGACTGTACGCGCCTTGGACGCCGCGCTGTTCTGCAAGTGCTGGAAAGGAGAGTATCGATAAGTATAATTGAATCGAGTAGAATCCATATTGTGAACTGCTGGGGAAATTTGTATAAAAAACGACAAGCACTTTTGTTGCGTACTAGAAAGTTGTTGACGGTGCAAGTACTCGGAATAAGATGTGGAACGTGAAAATTCCGCTATGGGACCTCACGTAAACAGAATTTTTGTGATTTTTAATAGTTCTTTCCTTATGGAGACAGCAAAATAAACAAGTTCTTTTACTCATAAATCAACGTCATATATACATTTATTAAAGTGCTTTATTAAAATCAAATTTATTTTTCGTTCTAAAATATCCTGGGAGAGCAATTAAATTTATTAATTGATGTTTTAGGTAGCGAATAACGACAGATGGTAAAGATAAGTATTGCCTATGTTTAAATTCAATACCATTTAGTTTCGGTTGTTACATACACTCGGGAACTTATATGAAATCATAATAATAATAATAATAATAATAATAATAATAATAATAATAATAATTTATTTTGCTAGAAACATGGTTACATAGATGTTAGGATAGGGTACACTGGTCAGCATATTTCGCTAAATATTCAGCATGCAAAATATAAAAATGTCAAAGTTAATCAATGTCACTACAATTACCGAACACAACAAATAATGTAAAAATTTGCAATTGTAAATTATGTCATAATCAAGCAGAATCAATATTAAGTCATTATTACTATCAATACTAAGTCATTATTAATGTTTAGTTACATTAATTATTATTTATTCATAAATTCCTTAATTGAATAAAAACATCTATCACAGAGCCATTCGGTAAGTTGCCTTTTAAAATAATTAAATGGAAGTTCTCTTATGTTCCTTGGAATTCTATTATATATTTTTACTAACATAAAAGAACTATTTCTGTGGTAAATGTCACTTACACATCTGGGTAGTAATAATTTGGTTGGGTCTCTAGATGGATACTCATTAAAACTGGTAGCTTTTTGGAATAAATTAGCATATTTTCTCACAAAAATACCTACCTCCAAAATATAAAAACCTGTGACTGTCAGTAACTTAAGCTTTTTAAATAAAGGTTTACATGAATCCAAAGGCCCAGCACCACATATTGCTCTAATACACTTTTTTTGTGTTATAAAAACTTTATTTATATCAGTTGAATTCCCCCACGCTATTAACCCATACCTCAGTGCAGATGCCACATAACCATGGTAAGCGGTAAGGGCAGTTTTTTCATTAGATACTTTTCTCAATTTTTTTAATGCAAAAACAAAACGGTTGATTCGGGTACAAACTGCTTTTATATGGGCTTTCCAATTACATTGGGAGTCGAGTATCAAACCCAAGAATTTAGCCTCAGTCACCTCCACAATACTTTCACCATTACAGCGTATATCTAATGGTTTTCGTTTGTTTTTATAATTTGAAAACTGTACTAATTTTGTTTTTAATATATTTACTTTCAAACAATTTTGATCGAGCCATTGAGTCACGGATTTTATTGTTTCATCTAAAATAGCTTGATATTTTGCATTTTTGTCTGTGTCTGGGATCACGACCGAAATGTCATCAGCAAAGAGGATACAAGGTTGTTTCGTTACTTTTGGGATATCATTTATATATATAAGGAACAAAAGGGGTCCCAGTATACTTCCTTGCGGCACGCCAGCTTTATTTGTTTGATATGTCGACCTAAAGGAATTCTGTATATATTTTTCATCAATTCTCATGATCTCAACACATTGTTTGCGATTTGTCAAGTAACTAGAGATCCAATTTAGTGTATTTCCCCTTATACCATAGCGTTCACATTTATTTATCAACACTTGATGGTTAACCAGATCAAATGCCTTACTCATATCAAAAAATATTGCCGAGACACGCTCTTTATTATTTATAGAATTCAGAATATTGTTCAGTAGTTTGTAAACAGCAAGTATGGTTGATTTCTGTTTTTGAAAGCCATTCTGCTCCTCTACTATAACATTAAATTTGCCAAAAAAATTCACCAAACGAGAATGCAATAATTTCTCAAATACTTTTGAAAATATCGGAACAAGAGTGATGGGTCTATAACTAGATAGATCTTGTTTGCTGCCTTTTTTATGAAGTGGTTTTACTATGGAAATTTTGAGTTTTTCTGGGAAAACTCCTTGTTCAAAAGACAAATTAACTAAATGGGATAGAACATTAGCAAGTTCATTTGCACATTCTTTTATCACATATGTATAAACGCCGTCATAGCCAACTGCATTCGTATTATTAAGTGTTTTGATTGTTTTGAAAACTTCATCAGGCGATGTTGGCGTTAAGAATAAGCTTGCATCTACAGGTTTTATCAAAGCATAGCTTTTTAAGTTCACATTATAATGTGAAAATGAACAGAATCGGCCCGCTGGGCAGTCGTACAGCCGTTAATTACTGTTTAATGACGTCTGCTCCAATACGGGTGTAGACAGTATACGGAAATAAATCCTTTTTTTTTCTGGTAGAGTTTTATTAGTATATAAAACTACCGGAAAAAAAAATGTTTTATATACTATTACCGATAATCACCGTTTTATACTTATTATATTTATAATGTTACTTAAACTAATTATGAAAAAAAAAAACAAATATCTTATACTCATATCAGAACTTAGAGAATTCATAATGGAACATTAATTTCAGACTGCCGGAACGTCATAGCGACGCCATGACAGAAGTGGCGTTCGCGCGGTAAAATTTGAAAATGAAATTAATTTCCTTATTTTATACGAATGATAAATAGTAAAGTGTCTACACCCCTATTGCAATGAGCGATCTGACGTTCTGAATTTGAGACCGCGCGCCGGTGAGGCGGGGTGTGGTGTGGCTCACCCGCTGCAGCTTGTTGTGGCGGCGCTGCGGCGGCGGCGCGGGCGGCGCGGCGGGCAGCTGCAGCGCGCGGCGCAGCGCGGGCGCGCGCGGGGCCAGCGCGGCCAGCCCCCCGCCCAGCGCGCCCGCCAGCGCGCCGTACGCCGCGCGCGCGCCCCACGTGTCGCACACCACCGCCTCCGCGCCCACGCGCACGCTCAGCTCCGGCACCTCCTCCTCCTGCGGAACGCGTTCGTTACTGCACACTCACGCGCCTGCCCGCCGTTACAGTGCGACGAGTACGCTTGTCGACATTGTGTGATCTCGACGAGCGTACTCTGTGATATCGTTTACTTCCCAATAAGTTATTTATTTATTTATATATATTCGGGAATACCGACAGCACATGATTTTTATATGTAGACATCAAATTGCGTTATAGATGACCAATAGAAGGTTTCCACGGTTAGTTAACAATCAGAGTGAACATAGGTATCGTAAAGTTGAATTTTAGAACAGAAAAACATATATGCACCAGAAAAAGAGAATAAAGAAAATTACAATATGTATCAAAACAATTACAAACAAAAATGAATAATCAGATTGAGTTATTGAGATTATTGTGGAGAAGCTGTTTGTTTGATGTTTATGTTAAATTTATTCAATGTCATCACTATAGTTAATAGTTAGCAATTAAATAAATTTTGTTAGTATTTAGTATTGGAACTGTCAGGTCTATTAGTTAAATAGGCTTTGATTGTATTTAAATTGTAAACGACTGTTTGTTTTCCTAAATAAATAACAATTAAAATAAATAAACTATTGTTGATTGTGGAAAAGAACACTTGTAGCTAAAATCGAGAGCGCATAAAATTTTTCACTAATAGTATATGAGCCTTACATTTACATTAAGGCAATGCAGTAACTGAACTGCTTTGGCAACGTAAAAGAGCAGATGATGACGATAACACTAGTGTGTTATTCACAATGTTTTATTGTTCCCAAAATGAAGTCGGAATAACAATACATAAAACATACAACGGCGGCCTTATCGCTTAAAGCGATTTCGCCCAGACAACTTTTGGATAGTATATGAAAACAAATATATGATGGCTTAAATTTACTTATAACAGGAACAATAAGGTAGCATATATAGAATATGAGAAAAGCATAAAAAAAATATCAGATAGAAATCAAGTACAGATACAAAAAATCAAACTTTTATATGTATATATAAATAGAGAAGAAATTGAAGAAACTTTTAAGCAAATAAAAATAGTTTAAAAGATTTAAGAGTTTTAGCTTGTCTGATACACATCGGGAGCGCATCCACAGACGAATGGCTTGCACTGTATTTTATTTATTTATGGAGCTTTATTGACCAATGAAAAATGGTACAAAAGGCAGATTTAATTCTAATAGCATTCTCTCCCAGTCAAGCTTTGGGAAAAACGATAACGGTATAGTACAATATAGGGAACGTAAAAAAAAAATGAAACTTGCTCATAGTATAATACGTAAACCAATAATACACAAATACAAAACATAACATAAAATATCAATTTATTTACATACGAATACGGCAAATATATACATATGATGAAGAAAATTTTCACAAGCTTTACAAAAGAAAGAAGTGGACTTGTTTTTTAAAAATCAATAAATAATAAAGTATCGTCTTTATCACAAAGAATGTGTAGTGACATTTAGGATTTTAAGTTTTCAGAAAAATATATATACAAAATGTCGATGTTATCAAGTTCATTCATTGATAATCGATTTTGAGCGCTGCATATAAAACGGTCACTCACCTCGAAATACTTGAGTATATCCCTGAAGGTGGCCCGTTGCACTTTACGGTCCCGTTTGGCTCTGTACTTGTGCGAGTCTCGGGCCAGTTGCTCCAGCAGCGGCAGCACCTGTTCCACGTAAGGGGCCACCGTCGACTCCTCGGGGTCCGTTATACGCTCGTGCACTATCGCCAGGGCACCTCCCGCCGCCATGCGGACCTGGCCACAAACATATATGGTTTAATTACAAAAATATTGAGAGCATCGGTATCAAAGTGAATTTAAATATCAGTGATTTGTATTATGAAGGTGATTAATCGATTAGTTTTTTTTATAGACTAAAGTTGATTTTAAGTAGTGAAATAATAGCTCTCATACTTTTAGCAAGTTCAAATTGTGAGATAGGGTCCGGTGAACTCCTTACTGGAGCCGGGATCCACGTATTTCGCAGCAGGTTTTATCAGGTCGGCCAACCACGCTTTAACCTGTCCTTAAAAGACAGGGTGGTTGAAGAGACCTAGTTAAGAGTTAAGGCGTAGACATGTTTAAACCTTTACTGAATCGGTTCAGCAAAATGATAAACTAATCAGTCTGAAGTTTTGCTTCTAATGGATCAGTGGCGCTCTCCGAAACGAATGAATGAAAGAATGAACTGAGCTACTGTTCGGATAGATTCGGGCGACGAGTCGGGTGTCGATAGCACCGCTTGCTAACGCGAGCGCATTTGTCGGCCAGCCAGAGGCTATATTTGTTTATTTACTACTTTTTACTTGATTTTTATTTTGGAACCATAGATTATGATCAAGGTTTAGATTACAAATCCCATTTGGTCATGTTTTAAAATCTTATATGGTGCTTTTTCGTGGAGAAAATTGTAGTGTAAATTGTTAGTCCTAAGCCTGCAAAAATTATTAAGGATAATCGATTCAATTTAAAATGTACATATTTGAAATTTCATAATATACAAATCTTTTATCTCGGCGCGAGAAAAATTTAATTATATTTTTAAAACAAACATTCCATATCAAAAGTCGATGAAAAGTGATTTTCAAATATATTAGTATAGTATAGTAGGTCTCGAATCTATCTGAGAATCGTTGATCGAGAACTAAGCCAATATCTAGACGCGTTACCTCCAGGCCGTGCGCCTCCAGCAGCGCGGCGAGGCGCGGCACGGCGGGCGGCGCGGCGTGCAGCAGCGCGCGCGCGTGCGGCCGCGCCAGCAGCGCCAGCAGCAGCGCCCAGCCGTCCAGCGCGCCCGCGTGCAGCGCCGCCTCCTCCACCGCCGCGCCCGACACCTTCACGCTGCCGTCGCCCTGCGCGTGCACACCGCGCTCGTTTCATTACATCATTTCATATTGACACTTTTCCTTTATAAAAAACGAAAACTCACTTTTGGGTAGCTGCCGCTGAAAATGGTTTCGTACATCTTCATGATCTCCAAAATTTCGCTTATGTCCTCCTCGAACAGGTAGCACAGCACGGCCAGAGATGAGCAGCACTGAAAATGTTATTTCATTTTTAACATTAGAATATTTTTTATCCTCAAACGACAGGAGACTACGCAGTATGGACATTTCGACGAGGATTTATACCTCAGTGCGCGTGTCGATGGCGGCGGAACGATCTACAGCTGCGGCGGCCAATGCCGGTCGGACCTCTGACATGAATTCTTCTGAACCCTCTTCGCCGATCTGTCGAAAACGTTCATTAATATTTAAAAACTGCAACTGACTTTGATCTATGTTATCCGAGCGCTCTAGTTTAGCAAGACTTAATATTAACAGCAAAATAAAAGAGTAGCTTTAGTATAGCTTCGATAATTTCTATATACCTGAAGCGCGAGTATTGGAGCGACAGCAGCCGCTGCTTTACGTTCAGCTTCCCGGCCGCGGCGTATCATGCGCGATATGATGTCGGCGAGTGTAGCGCGCTGGTTGGCGAACAGAGATCCTACGCAACGCCGCTGCAAAGCGTTCTTCAGCGACACTAGCGCCGCAGCGCGAGCTTGAGCGGCGCGCGCGCTCAAACTATCGATGATCTCCATGACCTTGTCCTCGAACTTTTCAGTTTCACTTTCGATACCTGTTCGAGTTGAATAGTATTTTTTTTTACGAATTACCATTATAACAAGGAAATGTATGTTTGTTGATATACACAAGTGCTAGTATATCTATACTATAATAAAAACGTACCGATCGATGTCTGTACATTGAAGATATATGAAAAAAACTGTTATAGGGGACATTTATAAGCGTAATAGAATACAAAACAATGATTTTTAAATTTTTTGTCTGTTTGTCTGTTTGTCGGTTTGTCTGTTTGTCTGTGCGTTTGTGCACGATAATCTCAGAAACGGCTGAACCTATTTAAATGCAGTTTTCACTATTGTGCTGCGGCATTCTTCCGTTAACATTTAGGGTAAGATTTATTACAATCGGTTCACAAATAAAAAAGTTATGTCAATTTGAAGTGACGTGGTCGCCAAAATTGCTATGAAATATTTACTGTTTTATAAAATTTTCATCTTTGACGTGTTGATCATCATCATTAACTCTTTCACAGCCAAACTACAGGGCCTCAGGCCTTTGTTTAATAATTGTTGGTCACCCATCCCGTGAACAACTCTTGCGATAATTGCTTAGCAATAGCGATCGTGCGCAGCGGCGCATATCCGTAGCGCCACCGAGCTGTGAATTAATATTGTCTATGAAATGATAATTTGTATGATGACAAATAAAAAAATAAGATTCCAAAATTTTGAGAGTTCCGAAGTAAGTTGACCTCATTTATATATGGCCAATCATATTAAATAGGGTTCAGCTTATAATGGACATGTGGTATACGATCACGCGAGTAGGAGAACAAGCGGAAAGAGCCTTCCTATGATGCAATTAAGCCTCGAGTAGTTTACAGTGAACGCATATTTTTATCAGATTAGGTTCACGTCGTCGTCGGGGCCAGCGGAGGTGGTTGGCAGCCGCTCCCGCATTGCACGATTTCGTCTGTCTGGGAGAGGCACTCGATTTAGCCGAGTCTCTCCAATTTTCCATCTGCATGGGGAGCAATGATCCAATACTTGAGTGTCCTGGTGACTAGGCCATAGCTTGCCGGTTTTCATTTCCCATGAGAAGGTGTAGAGTACGGTTTTTGGTGGGTAGGCCTCCGGGGACCCACTGGGCAGCTCACTGTCGGGTTCACGGAGGAGAATCCTACTCATCTCTGTTGCTTGCCAGGTAACAGAGACAATGTCAGAAGTTTTTCCACGATGTTAAAAAACTTAGATTCACGTCAACTGAAGTTAAGAACGTAAAGACAACTCGAGTTATATATTTTTTTTCTCTTATTACTATTTTTTATTTTAATACTCTTTTTTTTACATACAAATTGCTGAAGATACGTACTTCAAAGTTGGTATTTTCAGTCTTCGCTGGAAACAATGGTTTATTCATTGGTCACAACACATATAATATTACGCGAGTCTGAGGATCGGTTCAGAGTAGCTTGGTGGCGTAGTGAATAAACGCCAAGGCTCGCGATTGTAGTTGTTAAGCAACTTTCGCAAAGGTCGTTCACAGAATGGGTGTCCAAAAAATATTATCTCAAGCAACTCCAAGCTTTGGAAGGCACGTAAAGTGATTGGTCCCGGTTGAATTTGCAGTCGTTAATATCCTCCAATTCGCATTGGGCCAACATGGAGGGTCGTGGCCCATCCTCCTTAATCCATAAGGCTCCTGCTGTTGCTGACGTAACAGAGCTTATGATGATGATGATGAGGGCCGTTCAAATCTGACGGAAGCCAAACAACCAAATCCTTCCTCTTTTTATAAAGAGGAAAGATTTGGTAGTTTGTTATTATTAGTATATCTTAGGTATAAGAGGTCCGATGGCGTAGTGGGTTAGCGCATTCGATTTAAATTGCAGTGAAATAAATGTGTAAAATACTGCACAACAAGTATATACATGAAAACTTATTTTACGTAACTAAGTACAAACGACAAACTCATCGCTAGCAAGCGATTTCTTCCAGGCAACCTAGCATTACATGAAAAAAAGAACAATAAATAGCTGATTGTGCATACAACTAGATAAATAATAAAAAGATCAAAAACAAAAGAAGGACAGTTTCCAGCTACGAATAAAATTCTCAAACACAAGCGAACCAGACTCAAACCAGAGCGCGAGAAACGAGAAAAAAGATAGAAAATTACATTCGTAAGGACAGGATGGGTGACCAAAACATTATTATCCTGAGCACTGTGTACAACACTGACACAATGTACGTTAAGCCGTTAGTCCTGGCTGCATCAGCAACATTAACACCCACCGATCCGCATTAAGTTATGGCCCATTGATCTTATTTGATTCGACTCCATCCATAGGAATAAAAAAATTCTACCAAAATACTTCCCACGCAGACGAAGTTGCGGGCACAGCTAGTCAATAATATAGACGTCAACAAAAGCAAATAAGGTATGATGCATATATACATAACACCTGTACACATAGAGAAATAAATGAATTAGTAGAGTTACTTTGTTTTAAGAATTCGTTATCTCTATAGCAAATGCAAATCATTTCCCTCTAAAATGTATACAAATTGACATTTTGGATGGAATTTTCATGTACATTAAATATCAATAGCTAAAATCATTAATAAATATTACTTGTAACTGTTAAAAGCATCTATTTAAATTAATAGATTCATTTGTGAAAACAACACTTCTCCAAGACTTGGACTTTAGGGGCAGCATGAAAGATTTGATGGATAATTTCATCTAGTGCACAAGGTTGAATAAACTAAACTTATAAATGCGATATTTTGTGGAGATATACCTATGTTTGTTTGTTATTTTTTACGCAAAAAAGACTTATTTTGATCTAAGCTTGAATTACAAGCTACTTATTATCCCATTAAATGGTTCATAAGGGAGAAATGTATAGACATTGTGTTAACCATATTATATATATGCCTGGTCAGACGTTCAGCAATCATTAATACACGACGCGTCTTTCGTCAGGTATGTGCCGAGCCACACAACATATAGCAATTATTCTTATCTTAGCATTCCCGCAACGCGTTGTTATCTAATATCTGTTTGACGGTACGTCATGTAATGACGCAACATACATAACGTCACCTATTACATTAAAAAAAAACTCAGAAATCCCAAATACAATGTTATCAATTTAACATATGATCATTTTTATAGCATTATTGTATTTGTAATTTTATAATTATTTCTGGATGACCTTCATTGGCATTAGTATACACTATGAGCAACTTGTAAACATAGACTTTGGACTAAAGATTCTAGACTTCCTTTTTTGTTTAAGATGTTTCATTTGTTTAGTATAAAAATAATTTAAATTGTAAATAAAATTGGTAACATATTTTGAATTACTTTCCCAACACTTTGATTGTCTCCTGTAACATAGTTACTTATCTGAATCAAGTTTATTTACAGTGAGGTGTACACACAATAGAAAGGCATTTTAATAAATCATTCACAGTACATAAAGTCATGTCTTCATAATGTACATATTAAATCTGAAAATTCATATGTCCACCCATATTAATAATAATAACTTACAATAAAATTAATCATATAAGTTAAAAGTTTGATCATGTTTAACTTATCCTTATCGTTTTACAAATTGCCATCTAAAAGCGAAATTTGCTGTAAATGTTGCTTGTAATATGGTGTGTTTACAAGCAAATATTTTTTTCTCTTGTAAAATCAATAGTTTGCACATTATGGAAGCTATTTTTTTGCACCACCGATATTTATTCTTTTAACAACAATAGGCATTTTGGCATTTTATAATGCCAAAACTGATATGGTCTACTAAAAATAAGAGTTCATTGAGAATATCATGTATAATTTAAAAAAAAATTGGACTTTCTTAGATATTATACTAATACAAATTTAATCCATGATATACCTAGTTATTGACTGATATAATAGATGGTATTTTAGTCTTACTTTAGTTTTACTTTATGCTATGCTTATAAATCACAAATACTTACAATTATATTGAATAATATAGAAGAGGTACAAAATGTGGCTGATTTCAAAAGTTATTTTTGATTTATCATAGAAAACAATATAAACATTTAATAACAGACTGAAGGTATTTACTGATTTAACCTTTCATGGTTTAACTTTACAGTGGTTAGTAGCAGTTACTCTGTGATAATAGCACTTGCAACTGTGCAACATATAGAGAACTCATGGAAAATAATGTAAATGATAACAATCCTACAAATAATAAATACTTTATACACGTCATAGTCTAATCATGAACAACTTACCTTCTTCATGATTACTCCTAGAGTCAGACTGCATGGATATCTCAGAACAGTTGTCATTGGTCATGTCAATTCCGGCATCCTCATCAGAAGAAGCAGGTTGCTCCGTTCTGTAGTTTTCTGTACACACATCTTATTTTAATTATTTCATTCATTAGCTTGTTGATATTTGTGAAAAATAACATGTCAAGGCACATGTTTGGAAGTCAAGGAAAAGACTAGTCCTTATTAAGTACTATTTTGTGACAGGAGTAAGGCTAAGTATATTATTCTCAAGATACATTTTTGTAATTCTGGAGTTCAACATTGAATCACTATTTTTTACAAAATTTAATAACATAACCAATAACAAAGCAAAATTTTAAAGCAATAACAAAAAACAATATCCAAACAGATGTGGTAACAACTAAATATCAATAAGTTATACAGAGCACAACAAATAAAGCCTCTGTCATTGTTTACAAACAGACTGCCATTAAAATCATGACTCATGTTAGGTTTAGTTGCACCACTACAGAATTCTGGGTGTAAGTTATTGTCTAATTAAAATCAGGTAGTATAATTGCAAACTTGATGAACTTTAGAACCAGCTGTCAATGAAATATTGCACAATGTTATTACCAAGAAATTTACCAAAACCTAAAACTAGATCATGTACAAGGTGTTTAGAAATGTTTTTTAGTTCAGATGTTTATTTATTTACTTGTATAATTAAATATATCGAATAGAGACTTGGAGCAAATTAGCACGTGGGAATTTATAAATTATGTCGAAACTTCGAAAGTGGCAGTACTATCTAGAACGAAGATTGCTACTTGCGAAATCAAAACATATGGACTGACAGGAGTACGGAAACGATAAATAGACGACATATGGAAAACGATTTTGGTTCATTATCTCACTGGAAACCGTGGGAAAACCTTTCCGTGGGCATATTATATACGTGGACATGTCATTACGGCGCGGAAAGTCAGCGACCACAAGGCCGACGCGTGATCTCATTATTGTGTTCTTGGCAAATTCCAGGTGCGTGCCCGTTCCAAATATCACTAACAACAATTGAAAAAATTCATTGCACTCACCGTATTTTGAGTATTTTTTCCTTCCTTTAGGCATGGTGATGTTCGTGATAGAACCGAGTTATCAAATAAGTAAGGTTAAATTTAAAATACGTACTCTATTATTCACTAATTAATTTACTAAGTTTGTCACTTAATCAAGACGGAGAAAAGTTCAATATATCAGTTCTTATAGAATGATTTGAGCACCGAATGTAACATAAAACTAAAATTTCAGAAAAACTTTTTAACATGTTTAACCGTGTAACATGCACACTCAACTCCACTTCTATGCTCAATGCGCTGTCATCTTATGTCAATTGAAGGGGTACGCGAGGGGGCGGGGGGAGGTGTGCGACCGTGCGTCATGATTTGTCATCCATGACGCCATTTTGTAGAGTTGCAAGATATAAAAAAATAAACAACATAAAATGAGGAAGTTAAACTGAAAAATTAAATATAAAAAATAGGTAATATAGAAAAGTGCCGACTTAAATAGAAAAATTAAATATAAAAAATAGGTAATATAGAAAAGTGCCTTTACTTGAAATTGTGAAATATTCAATGATATAGGTAATAAAGTTGTGAAAGATATATCCTATCTCGAAAATGAAAATGAGGCAACAAAAGTTGCTCATCATAGACAAGAAGATTTAAGAAGACATTATTATGTTGCAGTCAGTATTAGTGATGGATTAATTGAAATTGTGTTGATTTTGATTGTGCAATAAAATATTTTAACACAGAAATCTTTGAAAGAAAACAAGTAATTTTGTGACATTCTGTTGTGCAACATTTTCGCGTCTTATCATTTAGGGCCTATTACTCTACACACTGCATTAATTATCTTTGCGTTGTGTAATTTAATGGATTTCGGATCCATGTGAAATCAAAGTTTGTTTGTTGATTAGTCAGATTATGATCGGGTGTAAATAGACTAAAAATAAATCGTGACAATATAAACGCCTAAGTTATTGTTTTAGACAAAGAGCGAAATACTGTGCTTTTACAGCTGGTTTGTAAATAGATTATAAGCTATGTAGTTTGTTGCAATACACAAAGTAGCGTCGGCTCAATAAATCTTGGTGTCTAAGAATAAACCATAAACATGCAGATTTCTGCAGACATGGATTTATATCTAAAGAACCAAAATGACATTATTTTATGGTACCTACTGCATGTGTTCAAATAATTAGAGCGAAATAGATCATTCCACCCTCTATATATGAACGCCTTTAGGCAGTTACTTATCAAACACTATTTTTAGTTTGCCTGTATGGACGGGTCGGCCCTGAATGTATTTATTAATACTGTGTAAACTATTTAAGATGAAGTTTATATAAAAATCAGTCATAAACGTTTATTTCTGTGCAGGCGGTTTATAAAAATAGCTGAAAACGGAAAACCGAAAATTATATTTTGATATAGGTAGTTTGTTATTACACCGTATAAGCCGGTGTAATGTTGACTTGCTTTTATGTAGTAAGTTGACATTTAAAACAGAAGCCTATATCATCCGAAGTCCTCCAAGGCTTACATTTGGACCCCAGTTTGTTCTCTTTTTTTATTATTATCAATTACAAAATTGGTCACTGTTGCAAAACTATATATATGCGTTGCACGTTATTGTACCAAAAGAAAAATTATCTTAATATTAATAATTGTCATATTACTTCTTACAATAATGTATAAATTGCACTGTATAATTAATTCGATTATTAAATGAAAATTTTATTAAGTGAATTAAATTTTGTAAAACAACAGAAAATATTTTTTAAAAATAAATTTCTTATTTCTATTTTTGACAATAATCAATTACCCCTTTATTAAAGAAAATAAGTAGCTAAAGAGAGGCAATTAATTCGTTAAATGCATTTTGTTTTACCTACATCTCCGATAAAGAATTTTTCCCACCAAGAAATTATCTAAATTCTGGAAAAAACAGAAGTTCGTAAGCGCTGCTGAGAAGGGCATGTAAGGAACAACTTCTTACATTGTCTTATAATATACAACTGTCTGCTGTGCACTATGAGATCACGTACCTAGTCTTTGGAAGCAGCGGAGTGGAGCAATTATCAAAAATGACTTAAATGAAATGATTAGACGTAGTTCTATTAGATATTTCGTAGGTTTAAATCTAACAGAAAAAAAAATCATATTCTTTAAATCCAGTATTCGGACGAATAGTACATGTTTATTCTTTAACCGAACAGAGTAATTTGGCATTCGGATAGCCCAGATAACGGATATTTGCTGGATATCGGTATCATAATTAACCTCAGCAGGCGTACCTATACGCTAACTCAATTGATAATCTAAAGAAATGCCAATTTGTTAAAATCACTAATTCGTTATTTTCTATAATCGGTTTACAATTTTGAAATGTCAATATTGGCGATCTCCACTGAACTCTTATTTTAACACTTGATTTTGTATCGATAAACTGTTATTTTCGTATTCCGTAAGTAAGTGTCCCTAAAAGTGATGTTCGATGAGTTTACCTAAATAAAAAAAAAGACATCGACTGGCTGGCTAAGAATTATTGACTTATTAAAAGTAAGTTACATAATATCAACATCGCAAAAAATTATTTCAGTTATCCTCGGAATTTGCCAACGGTACAGAATGAGGGGGCTGGTCTGGCTGCACTTCTCGACAACAAACCCTATCCGCGGCACCTCGCCGCTATCGTTCTACAGCCCTGGGTGCGGTGTACGTCGGAGTATCTTTTGTTGGATGCCGTTTCTATTCAGAAAACTAAAACTTAAAAAAATAATAATAAAAAAACCTTGAGGTCGACGAGGCTTTTCAAACTCTTAACTATTGTTGATTAATGTTATTTATATCAACACAACAAAAATGTTAGTATATAAACATTTAGCATCATTATAATCTGACTGACGGATCTATAAGTTAACAGTGATGCGAGATTCACGATTTTATCGACTGATTATTATCGACCTTTACTGTTGGGGTCTTGAGCAGCTCAATGGTTAGAGCAGTCAGCCGGATAGCGAAAGGTGGGGTTTCTGAGTCTGTAAAATTTCTTTAATAAGCAAGCATTATTAGACATACTATCTTACGTAAAATTCAGATATAAAAAAAAATATTTAGATAAGACATTTATACATAAATTGTAAAAGGACTTTTAATTATATCTATCGTACAAAGAACGGAGTATGGTGCCAAATAAAAAAATAAAACAATTACATCATGTCGTAATTATTATAATAATATGTACATCACATGATAAAATAAAAAAAAACACACCATAACACATGGTCAGTTAATGAACGCCCCTGAAACATTGTATAATATATAAAATATTTTTAAAGAAATACGTTTATTATAATACTTAATAGTTTCTCACCGATCTATATCTCATATATTACCAAAAATAAAATAAATACCTATTTAAAAAATGAGGAACGTATGATAAGGTAACTCTTAAATACAAGTAAAAATAAAATTCGTTACTTATTTTAAAATAAAACTGGTAAAAAGGACCATGAACAAAAAGTTACAATAGTTTCTAACGGCATTGGTTTTGTTTTCAGATGCACAAGACTCAACACTACTCTGATTTACCAATTTGCTGAATTTAATCCATTTCGCTGGTGTTTCCGTGGAGCCTATTAATTTGCCATCAATGTATTCCGCACATTGCACTACTATTGTAGGCTGAGAGAGACCTTTAAAAAGGATTTCTTTGCTGATCATCTTAAAGCTGCGGCTTCCTCTGAGATCCGTAATCTCTTTGCCGTTCACGTACCAACGGATCTCAGCGTCGGGTTCGGCGCGACAGTACGCCTTCATCTCTTCGTTCTCTCCAAATTCTGTTGCAAGACCTTCCACGATTGGTTTTCGTCGTTGAGGTCTGTACACTTTCATATAAGCCGTCCTCGTTTCGAATTTGTAAGGAGGCTTGTCTAGTTCCAGGTCACATCTGTAGAGTCCGGAGGCTTCTTCAGTGAGATGGCCGAGTCTCAAGCGGCATTCAGTTGGCCCGCAAGCGATAAGGTCTATAGTCCCTACACCCGGTACTGGGAACGATCTGGTGCTAGGAGCCGAGCCAGGTTTGTAGCGGAAGAACTCTGTTGGGCCTTTGAACCAGTTGAGGATGGTAAAATTGGCATCGTAGCTGCACTCGATGTCAGCTGTAGGTTGGTCGGGGGTGACAACAGAAGGCACGTGGAACCCGGTGATTTTGAAGGCTAGTGTTGTCACTGTGATGTGCGTTAGGTATAGCAGTGCGACAGCAGAGAGCATGGTGCCGGGCCGCGCGTTCGCGTCGCACTGCACCCCAAGCCGGCCACTACACGCTAACACGATCTTAATTAAACAGTTTATTAAACTTCCAACACTACACTGATCGCGGGATCCCTTATATTGTCATTTTGTTGAGTCGTTTTTAATTAATAGACAAATTACTATGGCTAGGGGTTGTCAAGTAGACTTGTAAATTTTGGGGTACCGTTAATTTGTAAGGCTATAATTAATTAAAATATATTTTTTAATATTCGTTTTTGGGTAGGTATGTGGGTATAGATGGACGGTATGATTTACGGATTTAATAACGAATTTGAGTGTAATTATGAAATTTTGTAAGCAACATTATTAGCGTGATTTTTATGGGAATATCTGGAAATAATTTCATAGTAGAGTTAATTTTCCCAAGAGCTACATAAAAGCACACTATAACAAGTGGCAAAGTGCTCACCTAGATTGTATCAATATTACCTAAAAGTTGCAAAAAATATATAAAATCAAGTTTTTAAAGAAAATCTTAAAGAAAGTAGCTTGTGATTGACATTAAACAATCCCTGGTGAATTGGACCGCAGACAGTGTTTCAGTGTTAAAGGTGGCGACCGGCGTCGGCCCGGACCGCGTAATAAGCGCGATATGTGTCATCCAATTCGCGGGGAAGATCTGCGACAAATTGATGCTATCCTTTTGAAGTTATATCACACTGATTTATTTCTTAGAAATTTATATACTATATTACAATTATATAAATGAGGTAAGTATTACAAGTAGCTGAATGTGACGATTTATATTTTTTAAAGACGCCAATTATTAAAATTGATGTTTCTCGAAAATTGAAATAAAATCTAATTTTCAATTATGATATTCTTTTGCTAAATAACTTAATAATAGCCATAGTTCGGTATATAGATATCTATCACTCGAAATGTAATCAAGATTAGAAATAATTTATCAGAATCTGATTCGCAACACTATTCCCTTTCTGAATTAAAATAATGCTTAGAAAATCCACTTTGCCTCTGGCACTCTGAGATGGGACTGAGAATATCTCAAAGTGCCAGGGACAAAGTGGGTTTTTTAAGCATTTTTTATTAAAATTATTTTTTAGTATAGCATTGTGAATGCAACATTGATCAAATATAATAACTCTTCCCATTTTTGTATAAGTTTAGATTAAGCTATTTTTACGCGATAAATATTGTCTGTTCCCATAGGGAACTTCAATAGTCTGATAAATATGATATTTTATTGCAGTCTTATTGTGTTAGTGCTGGTGATTGCTACCTAAACTTGTATAGACCAGAGGTTGGCAACGTAAAGTTGCTATTTTATTGTTTTATATTATTCTGATATAAAACAGCCTCGAACTCGAGTCTATCCTCGAAGTCGAGTACAGCGTTGTGACGTATAAACTTCAATGAAAATAAGTTTTATTTGATTGAACACTAAAAAGAAAACAGCGCTGCCCTCGTCGTTGAGTTTATGTATTATTTTATTTTAAACCCTTACTTATCTGAGTTAGTACCTACCATGACTCATACTATATCAGTTGACTAATCTTATTTTAACAAACTTTACAATCAATGCTACCACCTATTATTGCATAACAGTAAGAAACTATATAAATATTTCCTATTTGCCAAATTACACCATAATATAGCTATGTGAAAGAATGGACAAACACATTTTCGCATCTATACATGGTTTGAAACCAGTGGCGTAGCTAGGTAACCTAGGGCCCTGGGGCAAATAAAAAAATGGGGCCCACTGCTATCAAAACTGGTAAGGTTTTTTGAAGTAAAATCATTAAATATACAAATACTTTAAAAATGCTAAGCAAATTTATCGTCAGCTCTTTTTCGTGCATGGGCAGGTAATAAAACTATTAAACACTAACAACATGAATTACAATTACTTTAATACTTGGTGTAGGTATTGGGCAATAAAACGAAATAGAAAAGATTCAAGGGTTTATTATATTTTTTTTTTGTTCATAGATACGTTGCACCAGCTTACTGTTATTTAATCTATCGTCATGCAAGCTATTTATAAAAATTATCAATATAAATATTTTGTCCAGAAGTACTTGCAGAAGGCTGACTAATAAACTAGTCAATTTTGGGCAATTTTTGTTTACTTTCTTCTCTTTCTTGGCGTTGTTTGCGTTTAAATGCACCACTGGGTTTCTTTTTTTTTTGTCCATAATATTAGTTTTCTAATTTATTTATGCAATATTTATGTAATATTGTACTCAAGTAGGTACCGGGGAATCCCCGGCAAACATTTTATAGCCGCCAGTGTTACCACATTTGACGGTTTAAAAAATGTCAAAAAAAAAATCACGTAATTAATGGACGGCCCCCTACCGCATGTGGCTTATATTTTTCACGGTATTTTGAGTTATATAGTGAGTAGGCGAAATCTATAGATTTCTTTACGAAACTATGTATACATACTATAATCAAATAAAATTGAACTTTTGTATGGATCAGTACAAAAAATTTATTGACATACGTTTACTTACTCCTGATACATTAACTTTTTAACCATTCTCGAAAAAAATCTTGACTCGAAGTTCACAATCGCAATAATCACAATAACGAAAATCGATAAATAATAATATGCAGATATTGATATCCGACAAATTGGTGAAAACATTAATAACACTGTCAACCCCACACAAATAATTTAGGGGAATTCCGTTTTTATAACTTTGGAATTTCTCACAACTGAGTTGCCATGATTAAACTTGAGTTGCCACCTGTCATATTTATTTTGAAAATGGGAGAAATTTTCAAAAGTTGAGTTCGATTCTGGTAAAGATTCGAGGGCCCCCTGAGCTTGGGGGCCCCGGGGCACTACCCCGCCTAGCCCCTTAGTAGCTACGCCACTGTTTGAAACAAAGTCACTTTCCGCTGTCTGTACGCTGTCTTTTAACTACACAACGGATTTTAATGTCGTTTATCAATATCTTAATTAGCAGTTTATATGTATATCTAATTAGCTTTCCGCAAGCAGCTTCACCCGCCTGGTCCAGTGTTTATTATTTTTATGTTAAAACATTGAGGCCGGATTGCACCATAAGAGTTATTCAATTTAAAGTTTATGTCAGGCAATAACTGTCGACCTGACTTTCATTGACCGTGGAATGCGTTGCACCATCTTCTTTCTCGACATTGTATAACAATAACAGAAGGCCTACTCTGTTTCAATAAAACCGAATTTCGTCTATTTTCGAAACACTAATATATAATGAAATCCATTTTTCGTTACCTTATGATGTAAAAGGGGTAGGATCTGACGCTGCGAAAGAACGAAATTTCCTTCGTGTTGAACAGAGTAGGCCTTCAGTATCTAGTGAAGATTGGGCGGTTAACTTATAATAGGTAAAATTATAATAGGTGCATAAATATAATTTCTAAAACTAATTATTAACACCAGCCTGTTAAATTCCCACTGCTGGGGTTTAGGCCTTCCCTATGGATGGAATCGAATCGGGAGAATGGGACATGGCCCACCACACGTGCCCAGTTAATAAGTTCTTGGACACCCATCTTTTGATTGCTCATCCATCCATCCATCGCCCATTGCAAAAGTTGCTTAACTACTTGCTACTTTTTTCGCTCATTTTTCATATTTAGTATAGTATTTTCAGTATAACATTGTGAAAGCAAAACTGATCAAATATAATGAGCATAAAAGTCATATCTACTATTATAATTGAAACATTTTCATTTGCTCTTTGAATTTTTGGAAAAACGGAAATTGCAAAATTTAGATCTTTCATATCAAATAGTTGTTGAGCCCTGGGTATAAGATAAGCCGGTGTGATCCGGGGTCGGTGCGCTTACGCTACTGTCAAGAGCCCACGCGCTCGTCTCGGAAGCAAGACATTACATTTTTATTAGCGGTAACAGTCTTAAGTGTTATCAGCCTAATTGAATAATGCACTATAGTAACGACCCCTGCCGTTCATAATATTCAAAATAAGTACACATCCTTTATAACAACATTTATGTTATCTACAATTTTTCGTGAGAGTGGAAGTTAAGTTTCAAATATATAAGCGATTAAAGTTTTAATTTCGCTCACAAACTCTTCTAGCCGCTTAAAGCATAAAATATTTGTTTTGCATTAATTTAATTTGAATACGAAATACCTTTTGCAACTATCACTCGGTTTCTGACTCTATGTTTCTGAATTGAAAATTTAAAGTTAAGCACGTTTTAAACCATGTTAAACATCATTTAAACAGGTTTTCGTTTCTGATTTATTTTTTTTTAATGATCAGTTGATAGCAGTGATAACTAGGACTTTATGCCACGTGAAATGTATAATACATTATTCAGTTGAGATATTGCACTTTTCCCAATTCAGAAACCAGCCGTATATCAAACGAATAATCTATACATAGTTTATAACAAAGTCGCTTCCCGTTGTCCGTATGCTAAAATCTTTTAAATTACAACACGGATTTTATTTTCATCAATGTTATATAATATGATTCAAGAAGAAGATGTATAAGTATGATACAAGACCACCCGGCCGAAGCCACTCGCAGAAAGCGAGTAGTTCATGGACAGAAACAAAGTAAGAGGAATGGAGATGCCGCCTCCGATGAAAGTTTATTAACATTATTATAATTTTGTGGTCACCCATCCGAAAGCCTACCATTGTGGAAAGTTGCTTAACATCCTCAGTTGGAGACCAAACGGGCTAACCACTGCGCCATCGAGCTTCGATTATCAGGGATTCAATTCAGACAATTTTTACGTAATAATCGCATCTCTACTCGCATTTTGGCATTATACTTTCTACATGAAGTCTAATATTATTAATGAAATGTCTTCCTCACTAATCAATGGCGACAGACAGACATAATTATTATTTTGTAATGTAATAACAACTAAACTGCCATAAAGGGTTTTAGTTGAAGCGCTATTTTCCTTAGCTTCCTTATCAGAATTGTCCTACAGACACTTTGTTACAATTATATCGATAATAAAGATGAACATGTCGGAGTAAATTAATTT